TCTTTTTTCAAGTTTTAAACTCATGGGTTTAACCCATTATAACCTAAATATATATAAGTTAAGTCAAAGGAAAAAAAAAATTACAAGCTCAACTGAACTCACATTTGTCATTAACAGGTTAGATTGAAAAATATTCCAAAACCTAAGTAACCAAAACCAGTTTATCCCTAGAAATGAATAAAAATCTTAACCTTCTGGAAATAAGAATTATTTTCAATTCAAAAAGAACTTTTATTATCCATTTTTTCTTCTCCTCTCTCTCTCTCTCTCTCTCTCTCTCTCTCTCTCTCTTTGAACTCAATGGCTAGTGATCCTTTCTAGAGTGTGAGAATATTTTCTAAAAAAGAGTTTATAAATTTCCTTTGTTCACTTTGCCAACGGTTTGGAGGCAACACTTAATTTAATATTGTCCGTTCAAACTATGACTGTTCAAGAATTCAAAGTATTTCCATATATTATTCACCAAAAGTCCCCACTTTGATTTACTTCACAACGTTTTAATTAATTGCAATGGAATTTGTAAATTCTATCCTTCACTTTGCCAACATTTGGGACCAACATTAATTGAGTTGTCCGTTCAAACTATGACTGTTGAAGAATTCAAAATATTTCCATATATTATTCACAAAAACTCTCCGGTTTGATCTACTTCACAACGTTTTAATTACAATAGAATTTGCATTGTGAAATAGGACGGAAGCTACGAGTAATCTGCTGACGCTAATGCATCTGAATCAGTGATTTCTTCTTTCTATAAATTCCAATTTCCTGTCTAAAATCGATTCCATTGTCTGAAGATATTTTTGGACGAAGGATACAAGAGTTTGAATTTAAAAAAAGTAAAAAAAAAAAAAAAAGAGAGTAATTTTTTTAATTTAAATATAAAACATTTGTAAAGAACCAATTCAATCTAAAAGTTTAAGTCGTTGGGTGATGTTACCTTAATGAATTTTATATTTTTTTAACACGTCCCCTCACACGAAAATCCACTGGCCTTGAAGAGTAGACAATGCACAGGCCCACCTACCGTGCTAAGAAATTCTACAAGAGAAAGTATAGAGCGGTGAGAATTGAACCCGTGACCACTTGATCACGGAAGCTTTGATACCATATAAATAATTAATTCAACCCAGAAGTTTAAACTTTTGGGTGAGGCTACCTTAATGATTTTTATACTTTCTGTTTAGTCCTGGAAAGACCGTATTGCTATACCGCAGGGTATGCGCTCAGAGATAGTATATATCAAGTGTATACTAGGCTTATAGCCGAGGTCCCAATTACTGCGCACAAGCAATAGGCTTATAGCCAAGGGGTGGATGTGTGCACAGTGTGGACAGTATTAGTAAAATAGGTTCTAAGTGTTTACCTAGGGTTCTTAGGCTCTTATTTATAGAATTACCTTCCTAGGATTGTGCCTTTTGAGATCCCCCAATTGTAGTAGGATTCCACCTACTTCTGTTGGGATGTGATCCTTATCATATACTCTTTGGCTGTTTGAAGTTGTTGAGATGTTGCTGATTCCATATCTCACCAGATATTCCAGTAGGTAGTTGGGATATGATATGCATATCCATAACATTTTCCTAACAACATTATTAATGCAAAGTTTTTAGAAATTTTATATAATAATATATTAATATATCATTAAAAAGGTTAAATTTCTTTAATAATTTAACAATACATAATTGATAATGGTGTAATCTTATATTGACAGTGTATTAAAATTAATATTAAATAAATAAATATTCACATATATAAAAATTTTAAATACAAAATTAAAAGGTAAAATTATCATTCTCTTAACATTCCACTTACATAAGCCATCCTTTTCCTATCAAAATTAAATGATAACTTCTATTGTTGAAAGACTTTATTTTAATTAGCGCTAACAGAATTTTTGTCAAAGAATACGTGTCCCTAGATATTCAGCATGATCTCGTAATATCTAAATTGTGGTAGCTCAGTTGGTAGCAAAGGAGCTGAATAACTGAAAAAGAAAGCACCTCGGTTTGATCCCCATATCACATGCAACCTTTGGGAGGAGTGTAAACATGTTCATTCCTGACTCACCTAGGAGAGTCAAGTCATCTCAAAGAGATAATTAGGGTTGAGTTAACTCCAAAAAAGAATATATTATGATCTTGTAACATCCCCGTAAATATTGCGTAATTTTAATTCTTTAACAGGGTGAGATTGCATAAAGATTGTAACTTTGTATGGATTCATTTTGATATAACTAGTGATTTGTATGGCTGAAATTTTAGGTTTTCCCAAAAACCGAAAACCAATCAAATTCAAACCGAATAAAATTGGATTAGATTGGATTGAATCAGATTTAAAAAAAATTCAAATCGAATGGATGATTAAATGAAGCAAAAAATATGTTTGCTTCAAACCAATCCAATCCAAAATGCTAACACCCCTATATCAAATCGGTGAAATATGTCTTTGATATCCAAAATTAACAAATGAATTATTGAAATCCTTACTCGACAGAACATTTTAAACCATGTCAACTAATTGATTTCCTAACTTAACAAATATCAACTGAATCATTTTATACTCCAAGTTTTCTTTAGTCAAATATCTGTTAACAGATATCGTTGAATAGGATGCTAGGACTAGGACATGTAAATCGCAACCTTGTTATTACAAAATAATTTCATTTCTGGTTCCAAACGATAATCCAATTTATGCAGAAAGTGGTAAGGTATTTGGGTTCGCTTAAGTAAGGACTCGAGTTCGAGACCTTGTGTATGCAGAAAATCTTCGTTGGGAGACTCACCTGGCAATGCTAGGTAACCTACCCGAGTCAGACTGGACATAGTCGGGGCGAAACTCCAGAAACCAGTGGAGCAATCCAAAAAAAAAAAAAACCCAATTTAGCAAGGAACTTTTTCAGCCACAAGAATTTACACATCTCAATTTTGCACTACTTCGAATTTGATCTTGACACTAGATAATAACATCACTTTTTTTATTTTATTTCTCCATGAAAGTATGTAACAAAACCCCATACTTTTGTAAGACACTTGTATGCAAATCCGTTATCACTAATCAACGTCAAAGAACAAGGTTTTCCTTAAAGATAACTTTAAGTGTTAGAGAATTCTTAATATTGCATCCATACGATTCTTCCATAGCGTATGCATGAATAGGCACATGTTGCGATCACGACAAATATACTGGTCGTATGAGTAATATAGTAAAAAGGAGTGGGGTTGTCGTTCCCGTAAGGATTGATGTACCAAACACTAACTAATCCATGCAACTAAAGTTGGATTGATCTTTAGGGTTCTCTTGAGAATATAATTTTAAATTAATTAAAACAGAATTATAAAACTAACAAGACCAACAATCAAGAAAGAGTTGAAACGAAATAAAGCAAGCGTAGCTAGAGTGTTCATTTCCCTAATTTCTTCCTAATAAATCTATCTTTTCCTTAATAAAACCTCAATCTCTTAGTAATTTAATCCTTTACTCTATTCAAAACCCTAATTCCTTAGTGATATTTCCTAGAGCAAGCATAAGAGTAAGGATCACACGTCATAGAATTCGTAAGCCTATGCCTAGATCATACAAACCCTAGAAATTAATCAATCATAATCAAGAACCAACATTCCTAATGTCATGTAAGATTCATGTGTTTATCAATGAGTGACCAGTTCATAAACAAAGCTAATCGTGGGAAAACAAATTAATTGTATAACATAAAATAAAATTACAAGAAAGGAATACATAAAATTAGGAATTCATTGGTTCCATCTAATTCTAACTACAAAAAAAACCTAATATAATATGGTCAGGAAAACTAAGAAAAAAAAAAAAAGCATAACAAGAACTCATAGACTGATCTCCACGCGAAACATTGACCGTTCTCTCGCCTCCTTCGCTTTAGAACTGTGCTCCTCTACCTCTCCCGTCATTTCTGCTGTCCAACAGTCCAAGAATCCATAGAAACAACCATAGGCACAAAGCCAGAGAAGAATTGTATATCACTATATATCTTCTTCGCCTATGCAATCGTCTTGAGAGATAGCTGCCGAATCATGACAACAATCACCCGCACACAAATGAAGTGTAAAAATGTGTTTATGGTATAGTTCATGGTCAAATTTATAATTTGTCGTTATTTTAACATGCCTCTCAGTATAATTGAGTAAACCAATTTACCCAAAATGATCAATATCAATCAAGTGCAATTAGTCTTTAGCAAAATTCTCTCTAATAACTAATAATGGATAATGACTCGTGTTTCTTTAGATATTTATAAATTTTGTTAGAAAAATAGCAAAAAAAAAGAAAAAGAAAGAGAGATAAAGTTTAACTAATTGGAATTTTTAGAATTTATTATCTTTCTGACAAATCTCTCTATATTGAACCTAATTTATTCAAACATAAAACATTACACGCCCCTATAATCACCACCATAATTATATTTATTTCTTTTACTTTTACTTTTTCATCCTCAATATAATTTGTGTTAAAGTTTTATGTCTATATAATGTTTTCCCACTAATTTTTTATCTTCAAGGAAACCAAAAAAAAAAACAAGTTCAACAGATTAATTGGTTGGGTTTCTAATTTTCCTGTTCAAGTAAGCCGTGCAAATGAGGAATAAATTGTTGGTGTTCCTGTCGTACTAAAGATTCAGTACATTCCATCAATAAAAATATTATATGTCAGCTAAAGTTTTTTTTTTTTTTGCTAATTTTTTTTTCTGGGCACCTAGGGAAGAAAACAATAAATGCAAAGTAGGCACGTGTTCTTCCTTTTTGGTCAAAAGCTGGACTCGTGGGTTGATTTTGAAGCAAAGATTGACTAGTCAAGCGCAGCCCAAGATTATGCTCTCTCTCTCTCTCTCTCTGTGTCTGTGTGTGTATAAATGCATGCAAGCTTTGGTATCACTCATCAGATGCATGCAAAGTGATTTTAGCAAGAATCAACTAAGCATTGCATTGCCACAACAAAAACACTAACTACAACAAGCATCATCAACCATGGAGATCCTTTCTTTGTTTTTATACTCTCTCTTTTATCTTGCTTTGCTTCTCATTTTCAACCTTCTCCTCCAAGCAAGAAAATTCAAAAACTTGCCACCAGGTCCACCTTCTCTTCCCATAATCGGCGATCTTCACCACCTGAAAAAGCCACTCCACCGTACTTTCAAGGGGCTGTCGGATAAATATGGCCATGTTTTTAAACTTTGGTTTGGTTCACGTCTTGTGGTGGTTGTTTCTTCACAATCCGAATTCCAAGAATGTTTCACAAAAAACGATGTTGTCCTTGCAAATAGGCCACGCTTTCTCTCTGGAAAGTACATCTTCTACAACTACACAACCTTAGGATCCACATCCTACGGCGACCACTGGCGCAACCTCCGCCGTATCACCTCCCTCGATGTTCTTTCGAACCACCGCATCAACAGCTTCTCTCCCATAAGAAGGGACGAGACACGGAGGCTGATAACAAAGCTATCTGAGGGCGCATCCAAGGACTTTGCAGAAGTTGAACTGTCTTCAAGGTTCTATGACATGACTTTCAACAACATCATGAGAATGATCTCCGGAAAGAGATACTATGGTGAAGACTGTGACATGGCGGATCTTCAAGAAGCAAGCCAATTCAGAGATATGGTATCTGAGTTGCTTCAGTTGTCAGGTGCTAATAACAAGACTGATTTCATGCCTTTACTTAGGCTTTTTGATGTTGAAAACTTGAAGAAGAGGCTTACCAATATTAGCGAAAAAACTGATGCGTTCTTGAAAGGACTCCTTCAAGAACACCGCAGCAAGAAGAAACACCCAAATACCATGATTGATCATCTCCTAAGTCTGCAAGAATCACAACCTGAGTACTACACTGATCAAATCATCAAAGGCCTTGCTTTGGTACGTAATTATTCCTAGTGCCATCACTTTTTTTTATTAATATTACTGTAACATTGGAATATCGATAAAGTTGTTCCTTGTGATTGGAAGGTCACAAATTTGAATAAAACACTAGGGTAAGGATGAATAAAATCGAGCCTCGCCCCTATCCTTGTATGTCCCTTTTATTAATATTTAATATTTATTAGGCTATTAGATATAAGGTTTATATGTATTGGATAAAAGTAATTAGAGGGTAGCATATGATATCCTCTGTTTATTCTTATTCCTATCCCTAATATGGTTGAGAGAATACTCATTCTTGTTTTCAATGCAGTCAGTCATATATAACTATCTATGTATATTTTTTACTTCATTTGAACAAGTTGAGTTGGAAACTTGCATTGCAGGCTATGCTCCTTGCTGGAACCGACTCTTCTGCTGTTACTTTAGAATGGGCAATGTCTAATGTGCTGAACCATCCAGAGGTATTGAAGAAGTTAAGAGCTGAATTGGATACCGAAGTAGGACAAGATCGCATGGTGGACGAGTCAGACATTCCAAAACTCACTTACTTGAAAAATGTTATCAACGAGACACTTCGGTTGTATACACCTGCTCCATTGTTATTACCACACTCGAATTCAGAGGAGTGTGTTATTGGAGGATACAAAGTTCCACGAGACACTATAGTGTTAATTAATGCTTGGGCAATTCATAGGGATCCTGAATCATGGAGTGAGGCCACAAGTTTTAAGCCAGAAAGGTTTGAGAAAAAAGGAGAGACAGAAAAGATAATTGCATTTGGGATGGGAAGAAGGGCATGTCCTGGAGAAGCCTTGGCTGTTCGTGCAGTTAGCTTGACTTTGGCATTATTGATTCAATGCTTTGATTGGAAACGTGTCAGTGATGATAAGATTGATATGGGAGAGCAAGATGGGTTCGTCTTGACAAAGTTAGTCCCATTAAAGGCCATGTGTAAATCACGTCCAGTCATAAACAAGGTTATAGAGTAATTCCTCATCCTCAGATCGAGTGGAGCTAGTTGTGTGAGGATATATATATCTATAATAGAATGAAATTTGTACCTTTTTTTTATAACCAATTAAGGTAGTACACATACATATGCACAAATACTGGGCGTGCTCAAATAAGTGTGTACCAGGGTCATCTTTGGGTACTGATTATGCAAATAGTGTCATGATATGAACTTTGTACTACTGGATTTAATTTTCACAAATAAATTTTCTTAGCTTCTTACTTTAATTCTGAAGTTTCTATTTGAGTTCAAATTTTTATTCCTTGTTTACAGAATAGGAGGTGATGTTTGGCAATTCTCTAATGTAGTGTTTGGTTCGGGAGAAATTTTTTTTTACTAGAGAAATGTAATTGATAGAGAAATGGTTGAAAAATGAGTTTGGTAGAAAAAGGTAAAAAAAAGTTATTTAGTTGACCGAAATATTACAGGGAAATTTATTTAAATATGCAAAATCTATGTTCGGGAGAAACTTTGCACCTGTTTTTTCACTTCCTCAGTTATCTCAAAATACCACATCTCAAGTGGTATTTTGTAACAGTGAATTTCATCCAAAAATCAACACAAAAGTCATTTTCCCATCTATCCTATTTGCCTAGTATTTTTTGAAGAAACCTGAACCAAACGTGGTATTTTCCAATATCCACTTACACTTTCCTATCAATCCCAAAATAAACCTTCAACCAAACACTACCTAAGTATATCACCAAGATAACTGTGAGGCAGGGAAACCCGCAGGTTCCACCACGTGCCACAAGTTGGGAAAATTATATGTTTTATCACAAAAAAATATCTTAAGACAATTAATATATTCAAGGGTTCTCACTTTCATATGGTCTAATTAACTCATAATCATGTACAATAACCATCATGGATGAGGTGTAATTTAAATTTACCTATGAACCTTAATTACTTAAATTTATTACTTAGTTAATGCGCTACGCCACTTAAAAAATGATGAAAAGCCTCATTTCTAGTTATCTACAAGATGTCATAAATAGGAAAGTGTCATTTTCCTTCTTAGACATTCTTAATACTTTTTATTGGGAAAATGCCATGTCACGAACATGTATACTTTTTCGATTTTAAAATTTTGGGTAAAATTCTTTTAATCCTTAAAGATACACTTTATTTCAGTCTTTTAAAATTTCTCATTAATTTAATTTCAGTTTAAGTTTTTAGTAGTTTAACCTTTACAGTTTCTATTCATTTCCCCATAAGGCCGTTAGTAAAAAAACTGACATTATAGCATACCAAAAAAAAAAAAAACTGACATTATTGCTTGGGTGGATTATTGGCGAGTGGTGGCTGGGACGCAAAGAAGTGGGAGGTGTGCTGGTTTGATTGGGTGTGCTCCAAGGGCGGACCTACATGCGGGGCGTGCATGGGCGGCCGTCTTTCTCTAAAATCTGAAAAAAATGTCTACATCTTCACAAAAATACATAGTATATTTCATTTTTCATAACTGGTGGGTTACTTTAGCAAAACTAGTATTGTGTGGCCTTTGGATCTGAAATGAGTTGCATTGATTTCATCTTGTTGATGATCAGTACAGTATTTTTGTTCAAAGCTTTCGACTTCACTTTCTGAGTCTCCTTCTTTTGCTTCATTTGATACCCAAAATTTGTTAGCATGAGAATTGAAGAAGCTTGATATCCATTTTCCTGTTGTGAGTATTTTCACTTTCTCTTTATAAAGTTTTGATCTTTTTGTAGTTTTATGCTGTTCGAATGCTAAAAAAAAAACCGAAAGTGAAAGAAAAAAATAGGTATAAAATAATTATAGTTTGCAATAATTTTTGGAATTTATTTGTTTAGCTTTATGGTGTTTGATAATTGAAGTATATGAGTCCGTAGTGATGTGGGCATTATGGATCTTTATGATGTTAGTTTTAAGTGCTCGCCTGATTTGGGTTCTACGAGTTTTTCCCTCTTTTTGGATTTATTTTAGTTATGTGATTATATTTGTTATTAAAATTATTTAATGGGTGCATCTCTTGAGACCGTTGTACATGTTTTTTGGTTTAAGATTGTGTGATTCTTCTACTTTTCATTGTTGACATGAAACATGACAATGAAGTAATTGATGTTAAATTCGTCAATTTAGTATACTTGTTAAATTATATTTTACTTAAAATTCTATAAGTTGGATTTGTTAAATTTTCGCCCCCCTCCGTATAATTTTCTGGGTCCGCCACTGGTGTGCTGTTGGCTCAACGTGCGTGTGGTGTGTACTGAGAGTATGACAGTGAAAATACATAAATGGTTAATTTATTTATTAATAATTAAGATATATATTATCATATGACCCATATGTTAAATGAGGCTCCCTCTACTTCATCAATCAATAGGTATTTTTAGATATAAAACATTTGTTGCTAGTGGATTTGTACCTACTTTTCTTTTCTTTTTCTTTTTTATGGCTAATGCAGCCCTCAACCGATGACCTGTAGAATATTTTCCAACCAACGGGTTATATATCAGAATTGTCGTTGCTCATGAGGCCAAGGGAATGGTTTATGTACGCGGTCACATGGATACTCTGCTCATTCCCTTAGTATAATATAAAACAATAATGTTTCTCATCCCAAGGAAAGACAAGATCAATGTAATATTTATGATTAACAGATTAGGTGCGAAGTTTTAAAGTAAATCTTGGTAAATGAATGTCATTGCTTTTATTTTAAAAGTTTTACAACCATAACATTTGAACTTCAGTTTTCAACCAAAGGTTTATCGACACTCCAAGAAATTATCATCCACTTATCTACTTTTCGCTATTCCGGGCGTTTGCTAAAGCCCACCGTAGTTTTCCTGCTTGTATTGCGTATGCCAACATAATGCTAGTTGGTTTGCACTTTTTTTTATCGCTTTCTTGAATATCGGTGGGCCAAACAAGAAAGAAACTATTTTAGAAGATTAATTGTATAGAGATTTGTAAGTTTGGTCTAGATTAATTGTATAGAGATTTGTAAGTTTGGTCTAGATTAATTGTATATAGATTTGTAAGTTTGATCTAACAATATTCATTTCTTTAACTTAAAAGTTTTACAAATGAACCAATCATAACATTTGAACTTCAGTTTTCAACCAAATGTTTATCGACACTCCAAGATATTATCATCTATTTACCTAGTTTTCGCTCTCCCTGGTATTTGTTAAAACCTCCCTTGACTTTCATGTTTGTATTGCGTATGCGAAATATGTTAGTTGATTTTCATTTTTTTTTTTTCTATCTCTTTCTTGAATATCATTGGGGTGGGCCAAACACGAAAGAAACAATTTCATAATATTAATTGTATCCAGATTTGTAAGAATGGTAATAAAATCTCTTAGAGTTGGTTTGATTAATTTTTTTTAATATTAAATATATATGTGCATGGCATATAGAAATAAATTGAAGTATGGTCACATTCAGAGTTTAATAGTAGCTAGGGATGTTATATGTTGTATGATAAAAGAGATAAAAATGGGCATTTTCCTCAAATCCCAATAATACTCTAATTTATCGAACATTTCCTTAGCTAGAGAATGTTTGCAATGAAGCTATGCATCCCGTTATTCGTATACCATTTCATTATATATATTCAACAAACGTGGAAGCTCTGGCGGTTAATATTACGAATGTTTCATTACAAAACTACTATACGAAAGGAAGCTCAACATTGTATATGTAACGATAAAAAATCAATCACATGCACAATCGAAAATAAAGTAAAAAAGGATATACAAAAAAAAAAAAAAAAAATAATAAAGTAAAAAAGAAGGCAAGAAAAGCAGGATACACGAGTTATCCTACTTCACCCCAATGTATAGTTGCATCCAGTTAAGTTTATTCCCAACTACACTTGTTACAATAAACTCTCTGATCAAAACGGAGAATAAATTCATATTTCTTTTCCATGAATTTTGTTCAAGACTAGGGACCAATTCATTGATAGAGAAACGTGTATATATATATATATAGATTTGGAAAATTCTAAACCGCAACTGTTATTTATGGATCCAAACCCAAACTACTAAGTAAATGAAATTACAAAAAGCTCAGGACCCACATTCATATTTCTTTTAACATTATTTTTTAAAATCTGAAAGAGTTGACTTTCATAACGTCTAATGTTCAATTAAAAGATTCTATCATATACATCATACTGATAAAGTTCCATTCATTTGCCGGCAACATCGTTGTATGGGTGAGGCATTAAATTTGAAGATAACAATGTGAGCAATCTATATCTCACATCTGTTATGGCCACGGGTAACGACATAATCTTCGTTGTACTATTGTTTAACTTTTATGATCATTTCAGTATCAGATATATGTAATCCTTAGCTCTGGCGATTGGAGTACTTCTGTTTTTAGCATATGTCTGTTATATATATTTCGTCATTCTTAAATATTTTACTCCCGGAAAATGAACCTATCTTGGCAATAGCAAAGTCAATCTATCATGTCACAATAGAAAATAGAGATATGGATTGTTTCGGTTTGCTTTACATTATTATTTTTTTGGTATAATCTGTAGGTATCCTTATTCAAATTTTTCTGGTCATTTTATCCTCGGAGTATGTACCTGAAGGCTATTCCCTTATTAGAATAGCGGATGCATTGAGCTTTGCTGTCAGAGGAAGAATGGGACTAATTCCTCATTCGAGGAGAGATGCACATCCTCCGGCCCCAAGAGATTTTTAAAGAATTTGCTTGAGGCAAGGTTTGAACCCCTGATTCAAGCAACCATTGGGAGCTCAACAAGGTTTAAATTATTTATATAAGTTTAATAAAATAAATTGTCCTCAACTAAATATCCAAAGCACAGACATAGCATGCAGATAATCAGTTTCAGAGCTACAAGTCCTTTTATCATCATCTTATTCCATTGTCAATTAAGAGCCGATTTATCATTTTTTTTAAAGTTAAAAGCACCTGATGCTTACCATGGCCATAATAGTCGCTTGATGATATAATAGCTATTATGCTCATGTAATTAACAAGTTATTCAACAATATGACATATAGTTATTCAACAATATGACATTATCTATTTTATATGACATGCTATCACATCAATCATGTTATCAATCATATAACTTATCTGTTCATAAGCAATTATAAAATGAACTTTAATCCATGGTTTTCTAGAGAAAAATAAAATTACAAGCCAATATTTGATGGCCAAAATATTCTGTGACTTGCACGATTATTTTCCTCCTTCATTCTGAGTCCATAAGGTTCTAGTTAAAGCCTTTTTGGAAACCATGGGCTTAAAAGCCCAAAATACCAAAAACTTGGCAAGAAACCATAATCTCTTTCTTGGAAACCCTAGCCGTTACGTCAGCTGGGGTGTTACCGGAACTAATCTCAGTAAGAAAATCTAGAGGTAGGACCGCCATGAAGAGATGAAGCTACAGCCACCGGAACCACCCTGATTAGATGTCACACGTGTTTCATCTTAACCGGTGTGTGGCTCCCACGCGCAGCCACTTGTGGCAGCACATGAAGCCTCCTCCTGGCCAGATCCGGTCGTCTTCTTGTTTAGTTTTCTGTCCTCTTTCATTTCATGTGGTTGGTTTCTCAAATCGACCACCAAAAACTCATGAACATACCCGAAACGGTGACGAACGTCTTTCTTTTTGCATCTTCTTGATCTTCTTTCGTTATAATTTTTGTAATACAATTAAAAATATATAAAAAAATTGAAATAAAATTCAAGGAAGAAATCAATCGATGGGATTAGCCTCCTTGTTACAACCTAAGAAAATATATTCAAAAATCTACCATGAATTAAAGTCAAAAACCAAATAAAGGATACACATAAAAATCATATGACCAACAAATATAGAATCTTAGGTGCCATATTTCATAAAACAAATTAATTACATGATAGTGAAACTAGATTCACATTCTTATGTACAACCAAGGCTCTGATACCAATTGTATGAACTATTGGATTTACGCAGAAGCAATTTAAGACCTGATACACTTATATGCTTACCGAATCATCATCGTCTCACAAACACACAGGTCATACCTCTTGGATCGCAGATCTATTAGCAACCATCTTGTGTGTAACTCCTTTTCACGAACTGATCTCCTCTGCATCATGGCAAGAACGAGCTTCTCATAGAGGTTAAACTGGGATAGACCTTCCAGATTATGTCTTAAGGGGAAATGAGTGATGAGTGGGCACTCTCTCATTTTCAGGGGAATCACCTTAGCTCAGCCTCTGCAATCACTAAATGAAGACCCTTGAGAGGCTGATGACTATAAGTGTAGAATATATGGGTTCCAACCCTAGCCTTAAGCTGAACGTGCTCTATGTTTTTTAGGCTTTTCTTACACACTAGGCCCAATTGGGTTTTAGTGAAAGAGCAAAACCTAACAATAAAAGTTGGACCGATGATCGACCTGATTGTGGTACCAGGTTAGATGATCATTGGTCTAACATGTGGGTCTTTGGTTGAACCGCATGATTTAAATTTAGAGTAAATATATTTTTGGGTCTTTAACAAAAAATGTGGTTTTCACTTTAGTCCTTTACACAAAAAAATTAGTCGGTTGGTCCTTATGAAATTCAAAGTGAACCCATTTTAGTCTTTTTGAGGGTCTAATATGAGTCTTTTTTGAATTTGTGAGGGACCACGATCTTAACTAAGTGGATCCATTTTGAATTTTTTAGGACCTTGAGACTAATTTTTTTTTGTAAAGAACTAAAATGGGGACCGTGTTTTTTGTTATGGACCAAAAATGATATTTACTTTTAAATTTATATAAAAATATATAATAAAAGTAACAAAATATCACAAATGAGTCATTGGCAAATGGTTGTTGTCTCTTATTTAATGCAAATGTTGCATGGATTCAACTCTTGTTTGATGCAGATTATGTGAAAATATGTTTTAAAAAATTCCAAACTGGTTCAACTATTAAACCCGCGGTCCGGGTTTTCACCAGTTGAACCCGGGTTGTATGACACTTTTCTTGTACACCTTGACACACCTTAAAGTTTGTTTTTTTTTTCAATGAAAAAACAGTATACAAAAGACAAATAACAATGAACTATTGTCAGTTGAACTAAAAAAAAAAAACTTTTATAATTGTCTTTCGTTAGGTAAAATTGAATTATCCAAAAAAACTCTATAAACAAATTAAAATTATAAATATCAATAGACCCAAATCATAAAAGCAAAAAATTCAAAGCACTAAAGACAAACAAACAGAAGCATAATTAGATATTTTCCACAAAGGCGATCATGAAAGGCAGAGTAGAGGGGAAAAATACAAAAAATACGCTATATAAAGTGAAGAAAATTAATACGGACAAACACAAAAGTAAAAAATAGAAGCTCCATGCTTAAAAGAAATTTAAAGTAATTCAAAAATTGTAGTTCTGGTGACGAGCCAATTAGATCCTAAAATTTAACTTACCCAAAGGGTATTGAGTTCGAATCCTCGAAGTCGTAATTCTTGAAGAGGGCCGAGAGACGCAAACTCGATATCAAATTACTCGGGTTCATTAAGACTTCAGACACTTGTTGGTATTTTACTCAAAAAAAAAAATACAAGAGAAAAAAAAATTATGTAGTGCCTATATAAGGGGGCGTTTGGTTGAGGAGAAATTTTTTGAATATTAGGGAAATGTAATTGATAGAGAAATGGTTGGAAAGTGAGTTTGGTAGAAAAATGTAAAAAAAGTTGTTTGGTTGGAAAAAAATTTACCGACCAAATTATGTAAGATTTATAAAATCTATGTTTGGTTTCAGGTAAAATATAGATGGGGAAATAAGTGATAATTACGAAAATATCTCTGTTTTTAAAAATTTTGGGAAAATAAAAAAATTGTAAATTAGAGAGAAACTTGAAATAGATAAAAAAAAAATGGATCCACTGAGGTGCATCACATGGTGGAGTTCTTGCTACACGAATTCATTTGAACGTTGCAGGTCTTTCAGGAGTACCAAGGCTTGATACTGGACCAACAACTGTGTTCATTTCAGGCCAGTTAAATGCAGCAATGGAAATCCTCTTGTTCTCTCTGAGTTGACAGTTGCTCTATGTTCAATGCTCCTGTAAATCCCATTTGTAAACATTTGCGAAATGATATTTATGATAAGGGACAAAATTTGTTGTGCGTGTAGTCCATGTACCTGTTCATGAAGATAAGCTTCTGCACTCAAACAAAGACAAGAGTGCTGCTGACCACACAAGAGCGTTGTAGTCCATGTACCTGTCTTCGAGAATCAGAGGGTATTTTGGTCTGTTTTATTTTGTCATTTTCCAATTTACCCAGCTATTCACATAAAACCACCACCAACTTCAGATTCTAAACAGTGACAATGACTAGCTTTCTATGACCAAATGGAGAAATGCTATGCAAATAGCATAGATGGGGAACTTCAATGAATCTCTCTACCAAACAACGACTTTCTGGATTGCTACCTTCATTTGCATGGGAAAATTTTCAGATCTCTTCAACCAAACGTCACCTAAAGGAAAGGAGGATATCAGTTGATTGGGGAAGGAGAGGCTCTTCATTCTTAGTCTGAGTTTTTATGTTGCTACCCTTTACAATATGTCATCTTAGTAGGTTTGATAAGCTTGAAAGAAAGTCTAAGTCTTGTATTTTTTAAAAACTGCCCAGACAAGACCAATACTTTGCCTAAAAGGATTGGGAATTTCGGAAAACCTTCTATCTATTAGATTGAAAGGCATGGAGGTAATATTTTATCTTTTTAGAGAACATTAAAGTCTTCTAGATTTTTTAATATTTATTATTTATTTATTTATTTGAAAGAATTTCAAGGGAAGCCTATTCTACTTCTCGTAACGTGGTTCGTCCGCTGATACGTACATTTTTATCTCACATTCTTATCGTGGTTAGAACTTAGAAAGATCACCACCGTCCACCACACGTACAAAAGTGAAAAAATAAAGAAAAAGAAAATGATAGATGATGAAGGGAATATCCAAGTGATAATATATGAGGGATGTAAAGCAAAATATGTGTGTATACTCTTACGTAACCTAACTCACTTTTCTCCAACTATATTACTGAAATGCAGGATCTTGATATATTTACTGCCTTAAAACTAAGGTTAATAACTTTGAATTCTTGTATATAGATTACATATTAATTCACGATAAAACTTTTTAACATGGCAAAAGCTAAATTATCCGCTTCATCGATTACCCAATTAATCAAATTCGAAATTTATCATATACCCACATAAAGGCAGACTAGATGACACACTTAAAAAGATCGTAATCAATGGCACAACAAAGTGAGAGAGAATGAAGTTGACAAATATAGTGAAAACAATTCTTATCAGGCATCAGGTGCATCATCAAACATCTCATACCATCCAGATAGTATTACCTCATACCACAAGAATAGCCAGTTGAATCCAAATTAGTAAGATGACAATAACACATTACTCAAGTCAAAAACTCTAAATTAATTCAATGTGATTATGAGGATGGAGGGACTTTAAAAGCAATCAGACCTCTCATTAAAATTACATTTTGATCTTCTCAAAGCTACTAACATCTAGGACAACGTTTTCAACTGATGATAAACATCATTAAAGTAACATAAGGCTGGCAGGTTCTTCAAGTTCACATTCATAAAGGAACAAAAGACTGAAAACTACAATCATGAGAAACGTAAACCAGTCCTATCAAATTCCATATTTAAGAACAAGGTTGGTGCAGAAGTTAAACATTCTATCCTTCGTGTTCAGAGCGAGTCATCAACATTAACCACATCCCCAAACTAAAATTGTGTTGTACCTCAATACCTAAGTCAACAAAAAGGTCTTCAGCTCATAATGAAGAGATTTGAATGGTCTTCATGTATTTTTTTGTTTTTTAATCAAAATTAGAACAGTCTTCATGAGTCAAGCTAAAAGCACAGGAGCTCTTAACTAGCCCACCACCACCACAACCTACATTAGCAAATACAAAAACCAAGTATCAAAGCATTAAGTGTCAAACAGTCAATCCTCAGATCTCATACTGAAAAAATTTGCATGATGCTAAAACATAAAAGCTGTGCACTGTTAAAGATGTTCATGACAGAAACGCCTCAATCATTAATTACCAAAATAAAAAGCAAAAGGATATATACATATACATATACACAGACACACACACACATATATATGTATAAAAGATTAAGGAAATAATCAAAACTGAGTACTTCAGTTAGATAAACATTTTAAAGCAAGTTCCAGATTTGATACGCAAAGTAATTAAGACCAAGAACACTAAAAAGAGATATCCTAAAACCTCCTACTGAATCAGCCTAATAATCCTCCAATTTACCTAAAAAAGAAAGTATCAAATGCTTTTTTGGGTTCCCATTCCCAACATATTAAAAGTCTCAAGTTTTTCAGTACTTTCTGATTTAGACAATCAGGAGGATTTTAAAGTGATTCTTAGGAGTATTTAGCATTACTCCACTAGTGTTCCAGATAAGCAACTCTAATGCATAAGGAGTGGGATAGAGGCATAGAGCCAAATGCAGTGCAATAAGGAAACACTGCTAGTTCCAAAAACTTGTATCTATTTCGGCTACTTAATTACATGATTCACATTGTCAATAAGTACTAATGATAAATGCAGTGCAATAAGGGGAAACTGAATGTGGTAAAGAATTATGTCGGTCACATACTTATGCTAAGCAATTTTGAGGTATAAATAGCAATAAACAGCTTCCGTAGACATTTAACTATTTCCAGGCCTGAGGCTCATAGCATCATAGCATTGTGGTATGGAAGCAAGGATACCAGTGTTTAGGTGTTATGAGAAAGCCATTGGAGGTCTAAGCGTGAAATCTTGAGCTATATCAATTTCTGGAGCTACATATGTTTCGGAAATTGCAATGGTCATAACTTATTTCACTACTTACTAGATGATGTTTATTACAATATTTGTTTCAGTGTTAATTATTAAAAACTAACCATTTGAATAACCAGACATTCCCAAATATAAAACTGATGGTTATATTACCAAAGTAAAAGGTAAAATCATTTAATATGCAAAGGCAAGATACAATGTAAGAATTCGTGTTGGAGATAAATGAGATATCATTACCATTCACTGTTGGAGTTATATTTTACGGTTTCTTCCGAGCTTTCCCTTGAATCCCTTACCATGGCGTTTGCTTTTAGCAATTTTCAGTTTCTTTTTTAATTTCTTCCCTATTCCACCAACAGGCTTCAAGGAAGCCATGCTTTGACTGCCTTCAGCCATATCCACATCTGGCAAATTAAAAGCAAATACAGTACATTAAATTGTGCTTGCAAGGCAACGAAATGCCAATACATGATTTATTTAAAATAAAAAGTATAAATTTAGGATTCTTCTTTCACATAACAATTTTCTTGTGCAAATTTTCACCAGAACGTTTAGTTGATTCTCAGAGAGATCACAAACAAGAAGCAGGTTAAAGCAAAACCATCTTTTAAACTTAGTTCCAATCAGCATATTAGTGGCAGTTCACCAAATAGCATAGCTCCTCTGGAGTTTGTAAGAACAGAGTCTACAGACTTAATACCAGGCTAACAAACGCATTGCAAACAGGAACAAGGCAGTCACAAATAGTATTATCATCAACTTCACTCCATTTAATGCATTTTGACATATATACAAATAATATTGTTTCAAAAAACCAACATAAGATTAGAACTTCTCATCAAAATTCACATCAATCGATTCAATCCACAGATTCCATATAAACAAAGAAGCAGAAGGATGATATAAAGTAAATACCGGCGTTGGTGCTGTTAATGGAGGTGGAGGCAGAGGCGTCCATGGCAGTATTTGATGGGGAAGAAACAAGTAGCTTAGGTGCAGCAAGGGCAGCTTCTTGGGCAGCCAGCTTAGCAGCTTCTTTCTTGTCATAGTAAGGCTCAACAATCTCCCTCCGAATAGCCCTCAGCCTCTTCTCCCTCTTTGATCTCAACGACTTTGCCATTCTATTGTTCTCACTTTCACCTTGCTATGTTTAAATGTGGGGTTCCAGGGTATTCCTTAGACCCTGTTTGGAATTCAATTCATCAGTATTGAACAGCAAAATTTATTCAAATTTTAATGTTTGTAATCGATTTTAAAATTTATTCAAATAAGTTTCAGACGTATTGAACAGCAAAATCAACAGGTTATCAAAGCAGATAAAAAGCAAAAGCAAGAATCACACCAAGATTTTGAATTTTGATTGCCAAAGTTCTTTTTATTGAACAAAATTCTGCATAATAACTTAGCTGCAGTTTGGGTAATTAACGAAAAAAATATTGCGGAATCCAAAGTAGCTCTCGTATATGGTCAAATGAATGAACCACCCCATATGATTAATCAAACTAAATTACATTGGCCACATGTGGAAAACCCATATGTAGCCAACATAAAATTTTAGTAGTAAAGCAAGAGAGGAAAACCCATGTACCCAAAACCATATCATCAAACTTTACACAAACCAATCTTAAACTCGCTCAACAGTGTGCAAATTAAAAAAAAAAAAACACAAACACAAACACAAACACGCACAAAAATTGAACATGAAACATAATAAAAAGAGAAAGAACAAAATTACAACGTTGTTTCATTACCTGCTTTGGTTTGAGGAGGTAAAAGGATTTAAACTGCGGCTATGGACTCTGCTATATGAAGAATGAGGCGCGTGGTTACCTAGGTTACATATCAAAGGAACTGTGTAGTTTGTTTGTATTACTAATAGTCGAAACCTAAGAGGGTAGAATAGTCATTTGAATCTATGAATTTTTGGTCAGTGTGAGATTGGGTTGGGCTATTGAGATGGCTTGGATCGGCCTCTTTATTTTTTTTGGGTCAAATTTGTTTCAGGAACTGTATTAGATTAGGATTTAAAAAAAAAAAAATTAAGATAAAAACTCTTATAGATTTTAAAAAATTATTTAATATTGGAGGAATTTTAAAAATTTTGTTAAAAGATTTTTTTTACGATCAAGATTTCATAAGATTGAATTTTAAAGGATTTTAATAGAATTTATAAGATCTGAAAGGATAATATGGATTTATAAGATTTTAAAAATATATAGGTTTTTAACAAACATTCAAAATTACAAGAGTCAATAAAAAAAATAACAAAGAAATGTAATGTAATCAATAAAAAAAGTAAATACAATATATTTTTCTCAATCAGTACAACATAATATACTTTTTAACAAACATTCAAAATTACTAAGCAACAACTTTTCACATATCTAAAGTTATATTAGTCCTCTATGCATTAGCATTTTCTTGTTCTTGCTCTTGGGTTTGACCAATGGGTTGAAAATTATCTTCTTCATTTGGTATCAAAGCTATGCATATATGATTATAAGATCCAATTTTTTAATTATTAAAATAATTCTAAATTTGCATATAGAATCTAAAGTTCATGATAAAATTTCGTTTGGAATTTTTTGCAATTGATCTTAAAAACTTTGGGATTTTTGTTCTACAGGGTGAGAGTTTTCTAACCATATATCATATGCATATTTTCATTGAATATTCTCAAAAAAATTTGAATCCGAATTTTTAGATTTTATTACATGAAAGCAATGGCGGACCTGCTTGGTCGCTTATGTCCGCAAGTGCAGACATAAATCCCTGAATTTGTTTTTTTTAAGCATAGTAGTAGTAGTAGTAGTAAAGTATAATGTTGGTTAGATTAGGCTTTATTTGGATATATAATGAGGAATGAAATGGAATACGGTGGGATGCAATGAGATGTCATATATTTTATTGGATATTTTATGATGTCATACAACAAATTATACGTGATCGTGTCCTCAATGTTAGGCACGCTGCAACACACGATCACCTCGATATGCCAGAGGATATCGAGTCGTACCCTAGGCAGGCTGGATTTTATCACGTTGCGCGTCTGCGCAACCACGAGGTTGATGTATTATTATTATATAAGCTGCATTCATAGTTGGATGTTTTATAAATTTTGGTAAATTATTACTATTTCGTAAACAAATTGATCACTCGCTTATATCAGCCCTTGTTGAGAGATGGCGGCCAGAGACGCATACATTTCATATGTCGATGGGTGAGGTGACAATCACGTTGGAGGATGTTCATCATCTACTGGGGTTGCCCATGAATGGAGAGGTTATCTGTGACCGCGTTGGAGCCCATCCTTTCCAGCAGCTGATTACTGATTTGTTAGGAGTTCAGCCCGGGCGGCAGCGAGATTTTCACAAGAACCAATTGTCGCTGACATTTCTTCGTCAGAGCTTTCAGCATTACGCAGACTATGCTGGCACTGAAGCTAGCCGCATGAGATACACGCGTGCCTTGATCTTGCGCATATTGGGGGGATGTTATTCGTTGAGACTGCATCCAGCTTCGTCCCGACACGATATTTATTATTCCTTGACAATTTCCAGCAGACAAGGATATTTTCTTGGGGTTCTGTCGTACTTGCTACCTTGTACAAGGAGTTGTGCAAAGTCACATAGCCCAGTCAATCCGCCATGGGAGAATGTGCTTTATTATTGCAGTTGTGGGCATGGAAGGGGTTCCCTACCATCTCACCTGGGGTCCCTGAGGTCATTGACCCCAACGCTATATATGGAGTCAGGTAATTGTTTGTTTGCATTACCATGTTTTTCTTGCAATCTGTATATTGTCTTTGTTTTATAACTGCATATTGTGTCCATTATATAAATTGGTAATATTGTTTGCGCAATATTGTTTGTTTGAATCGGTTCACACAATGCAGTAGACTGCTCCATTTCGAAATCACCATCAACATCTGTATTCGATGAGTCGCTGTCAGGGACAAGACCTTCATCAACCTCTTCCTCGGAACTATTAGTACGCCACGAGGGATCATATATGTCATCGGCAGGAATCACATATAAAGGAATTGTTAGTGGGGGTGATGGTGGTGGGGGTGACACATGCATATCATCCGAATTTACTTGCAGCTCTCTGTTAATGTCTATGGAGTAACTGGTAGGGACAGAACTTTGAGTACTTGCCTCTCCACCAGTGTTTAGTTCCGCATACAACTCGATGTATGAGGACTCTCCATGCTGTCGAAATGCATCAACTACTAATGAGACATCTTCATCCTCGATAACCTCCACAACAATCCACTGCACCGGGTTACCAGAGGCGCATCTAGCAATCAGTCGAGACAGGGATTGACCCTGTTGTAATCTCCACTTCTTGTATATTATTTTCTTCAGCTCATATTATTTGCATTGGGGACTTATGCGGAACATCTTCGTATCTCTTTCAAACACTTGACCGTTTGGTCCAAAATATCTTCTCCCATTGTAATATAAAATGCATATTAAATCATTGCTACTCTCACTCATTATGTACTGAAATTATAAAGAATAACAAAAAAACAGTGGATCTTTCAAAGAAAAACGCAACAGAATGACAAAGTGTGTGTGGGAGGGGAAGGGGTAGTATAAATAACACTGAGTTTGTTGTACAGGCCAGCAAACTATAACTGTCGGTAGGTAGTTCGCTATCTTATGCGGTGAACTTGTAGGGAACTGCCACGTGGCACAAAGTTCATTACAAGGTACTACGAACTGTGTCAGTTGTTGCCACTTGGCATCTAGTTCGCTGGCCCATTCAGCGAATTATGGGGCTGTTGCCACATGGCACATAGTTCGCTTGGACCCTCAGCGAACTAGGTGCATGTCAGACACGTGACACACCTAGTTCGCTCTAAGGGGCAGCGAACTTGTCAAAGCTGTCAGCATTTATTGCAGCCAAGTTCGCTACTCCAGGTAGCGAACTTGCTGTCCACCAGGAACGTGACACATTAGCAAACAAAGTTCGCTGCAGTGCCTAGCGAACTTGCTCACGTGACATATTGAAAAATAATACTGTTGACATGTTATTTAGGTAAAAAAAAATTGGAAACAGTGACATTTTGATCACGGTTCCCGAAAACCGGGTTGTCTAATATCCCAATGCTGGTTTAAATAATACTTGTTTGACTATTTGATTTTTTTTTTTAATTTCAGAATTTATTTTTAGAATTAAAAAAAAGAATTTTCATTGTTCTCAAAATATTTCTCTAATCTCACTCCGCCCTCAGTTTTCTAGACTTTGTTCTAATGAAATTGAAGGTTTAATTTGATCTTCTACCGGATCATTTATCGTCCTCTCTTATTCAAGTATTTGAACCTCTTATATAATAATAATAAAAAAATTATATTAAAAATGAAATTATTTTTTCTATGTCAGGATAATTTTGGAGATTTGATATTTTTAATAATATAAATTATCTCTTGTATAAATATAAAATGGCTTTACTTATCTCATGTTGTAGGAGAGAATTTATTTTATGTTATAAGATAAATTAAGTGGGGCTCGCTAATTTTTTAAAAAAGAAAAAAAGAAATAAAAATGAGACACATCTTTTTATGTGTGAGTGTAATAGGAGAGATGAATCTTATGTAACATAAGAGTATAATTTTCCATATAAAATATGAGTTATGTAAAGAGCAAAAAAAAAAAAGGAAGATTACGGCACTTAAGATAATTTTAATGAGGGAAAATTGTTTCTCTCTTGAATAATATAACTAATGTCATTTCATTCTCACAGATAAATATGATTCATATTTTTATTTTTATTATCTTTTCTCTCTTTTATATATATATATATATTTTTTTTCACTTGTTTGAAATCATAGACACTTTTCCATTTTAATAAACATAATTTTGGGTTTGTGATTGATATTTTGAGCAGTACGACGGAACAATTAGAGCCACAATCAGTCATTCCTTCCTAGCGAAATCCGTGCCATATCCTGGAGATGAAATCACTGGCACCATATTCACTTGGGACTTGCCTGACTTCCCTGCAACCCCAAAAGGGTAGTAACTATTCATCACCTCTTCCATTCTCTGCTGTCCAAGTCCAACCACTAGTACTCTTACAAAATGAGACCAACCCAACCACCCAGTTCAAGAGAAGAGATGCAATAGGCCTTTCCTTAAGTTTTGGCCTTCTTCATAATTTCTTGCAATCACAACCCACGTCAGCTTCAGCAGCTGAAGCAGTTCCATGTGAATTAACAGTAGCTCCTTCAGGCCTTGCCTTCTGTGATCAAATTGTGGGAACTGGTCCTCAGGCTCTTAAGGGACAGCTTATTAAGGTTACCAATTTTTTTTTTTTTCACATGCATGATACACATGGTGTCTTTGGGCTTGGACAATTTGGTCATTTGTTGTCACTGTCTTTTGTTTTGACCAATATCCTATCAGGCACATTACGTTGGGAAATTGGAAAATGGGAAAATTTTCGACAGCAGTTACAATCGTGGCAAGCCACTTACGTTTCGTGTTGGTGTTGGAGAGGTATGTATGATAAATAATTGTTAAACTTTCATCCACTATAATTGGTGTATTCAGTATAGAAAGCTCTTTTGGGAATTTAATTGGTGTATTCAGAAAAGGGATTGCTTCGGAAGAATAGTTAATAAGAACCATAGATTAAATTTTTATTTTTTTGAAATATATAAAATCCTCGCGGCTTAAGTTTTTGGGTTAAATTGGTTCTTTATATGGTATCAAAGCCTCGGTGTATCGGGTTCGATCATCACCGCTCCACTTTTTTTCAAGTGGAATTTCTTTCTTTACACAGGTAAGTGGTCCTATGCATTGTCCACCCTTTAAGCCTAGTGGGCTCTCGTGTGGGGGGCGTGTTGAAATATATAAAACCATTAATGTAGCCTCACTGTCCGCTTAAGCTTTTGAGTTGAATTGGTTCGTTACAATTTTATTTTTATTTTTATTTTTTTGTTTGAATGAGCCCTTCACTGGAAACCACCCATGTACACTTCTGCATAGCCATGTTCTGGATTAAAAATTATTCATGAATCGAATAGGTCATCAAAGGATGGGATGAAGGCATTTTAGGAGGTGATGGAGTACCTCCCATGCTTGCAGGTACATTATTTTTAAGGGAAAAAAAAATGTAAATTCGTTGTTTTATAACATGCCAATGTAAAATTACTTATTCTTTTCTAACATAGGAGGGAAACGTACATTGAAGCTTCCCCCAGAACTTGGATATGGCTCAAGAGGGGCTGGTTGTAGAGGAGGCAAGTAAATTTTTTATTTTTATTTTCCGTTTTGGTCCTGCTAATCAATACTTTTACTTTGACATTAATATCACAAATTTCCTTATGTATTTGTGTGGAAATTAAAGATGAAATTTTGTTTGCTCTTGGTTGTTTTGCACTGTGTGGAAGTAGTAGGTCTTATAAAGATGAGAATGATTATATTGACAAATTTTTTTTTTACAAACTTACAAATTACACTATGTCTGTCCGACCGATAATACTTTATTCAAGAGTATCTTACCGGCCAGACATAATATAGTTTGTAAACAAAGAATTTGTAAATATAACCATTCCATAAAGATCATGTTAGTGTTTTAACTTCTATTGGTATTAATAGTTGTTGGAATTCAAGTGTGAACGACAAAATCTCACATGAGGAAAAATTGAGTTAAGTAAGACACGTATAAGTGAAAGGACCGGAAACCTAAAGTCTTAAAAGTTATGAGGTGAGATGTAGTGTTAGGTAATAAATGGATATGCTTAATTTGAGCGTGACGATTGGGGCACTAATGAAATATGCGGCAAGTGACATAACAATGCAGAATAGGAGAATAGATGGATTTATTGTCCGAAAAAAGAAGAAGAGAATAGATGGATTTAATGGCAGATCTATTTTCTGTTTTCTTTACCTGTCCACTTAGAAGGGCAGGAGATAAACAAGAAAATTACAAACTCATAATGAGAAAAAGGAATAAAGAGCATTGAGACCGTAGAAAGATGATTATAAAACAATATAATGGAACTTATATACAGCAAATTCTGTATAGAACCTTGAACCAAGGAAAGCATGTCGATCTGCACTAGGCTAGCTATATAAATCTAAATTAGTACTGTACCCGTGGATGTGTAGCAGTTGAACAGAATAGTAGTAATCGAAAGAATTATGCATTGCCTTATACTACGGAGTACTTTTTACACCTTTTTTCTGCATGAATTATTCTTCACCAAGCAGAAATTTATACCTAATTTTATGCAGGTTCATGTGCCATTCCTCCTGATTCGGTACTCTTATTCGATGTTGAGTTCATTAGCAAAGCCTGATTTACAAAGCCACGCGCGTCAAACTACCTTCCTTTTTCTTGGAGACTCGGGCTTAGATTTATATTGTTTTCTAATTTATGTTTGTATGTGTGACTCTGTGTGTGTTTTCAATCATACAGCATTTATTTACTTTTTTTTTTTTCTTTTCATTTCCCTTAAGATTTACATGTTTGGTGGCTTTGATAATACATCCATTGCAAAGTGATAATAATTTCACCCCCTTGGAATCCATCCATTGATTTCATGGAGGGGCAATTCTAAAATTAAACATTAAAGTAAAACTAGCATGCTAAATTCATGACTGAATCGGCCCAGGCGGGAAAAGGGGTCCGATTAATCCCAAGTCAAGCCATGTGACAATTATCCATATCTGACCCCAAAGTTTCTCTTTAGAATTCAAATCTTTCTTTTTCATATTGTCACTTGAGGCAACCCTCCATATTATGATTGAGTAGTTAATGTAAAGAATCAATCCAATCCAAAAACTTAAGTTGTTTAAGGATTTCTTTAATGGTTTATATTATATTTTAACATGTCCTTTTATACAAGAGAGTCAATTTGGTTTGAAAAATGGATGATGTATTGGGTTTAGTCTAAGAAATTTCACAAAGAAAATAAGGGATGACGAGGATCGAACTTGAAACACCGTGGTTTAGATACCATGTATCATGCTTTGTATGTTTATCCATTGTTGATTTTATAAACTGTATAACCGGAAGTCCGACAGTTACAAGCTCCAGGAGATCCGTACTGAAATTCCTCCATAGTTTAAACAAAGAAGATGAATAAAAAAAAAAAAAAAAAGGGAAATAACCAAATAAAGATTACAGTCGGTGAAAAAAAAAAGCTGTCAAAGCACTATGATTGCTTTTGGCAAAGCAGACAACCAGTTCTTTTCGACTCTCTTTTGTTTGACAAACATTCTCAAGAGCCTTAGTCTAACAAAAACAGTGACGTTGAGTCCTAATAACAAACTAAAGTGACAACACCCCCTTCAAAACAAAAGTGAAGACCAAACAATGCCTTTGCCTGTAGAGAAGAGCGTATTTCCTATTTCTGTGTTCATAACTTTATAATTGAACCTAAATTTTGGGTTTGAAGTTCACAAGGCATTGAATTTGGTTGAAAATGTCCTTCCATGAATTGCATCCAGTACATTTAACATCTAGTTTGGTAAGTAGAACTGTGACAAAATGTTTGAAACGTGAATGTGTTTCATCCCACAAAGTGTAAAAGGACAAGTTATGATGATTATCACTTTGGAACTTGGTGGCTTTATACCAAAATTTGAAATCATGATTCTAGAGTGTACAAATGTAGCTACCAAAAATCTAATACGTACACCATCTCCTAGACAAGCAAAGCCAAGAAAAATTAGCCAACAATTATTCCAATTAAGTTTGTTGTCAGTTTCTAATGATAAACGAACAAGATAGGGGGTATGTACTACCACTATCTAACAAGAGGTAACAGACAATGTACTGATATATATATATATATATATATATATATATATATATATATATATATAAGAATTGGGTCACCCTGCCACGGTTTTAAAGGAAAGGGACAAACGGTACTAAGGGAGTTCCAGAGAAAGTGATGAGGGTATTTTGGGATATTGAGGAAGAAGGATTTAGACCCTTCAAACACTACTTTGGATGCCAAATCCTTATGAACTTTTTCACGCAAAACAATGGTAGTTGAGGGAGGTTTCTGCCTCCTTTTCTTCAATTCCATTTCTCCTTTTATTATTGTGTGCAGTGAGCAACCTCCTCGTCTTAAACAAAAGCACCAAAAACCATTGCAAATTTGAATCATCATGTCTCTTGCCTCGTTGCTTTTTATCCAATAACATAACATAATGATAACAAATATAGAAGATCATATACACATATGCTCTCATGTTTAAATAATTGGTGCATGATCATGCTATTAATTTAAGAACAACAATTGTGAACAGAGACTGCACTGATATCAAACCTCCTTGATGCCTTAGAAATCCAAACTAATCCTTTTCAATAGGACAAAAACAAAACCCAAAAAAAGGAAAAAAGAAAAAAGAAAACTTGAAAGCAATGGGTGGCAGTAATTTTTTTTTCTTTTTCCTTTTTCTTTCTTGTGGATCTTCTTTCTTCTATTACTGAATTTACCTGTTTGAAATGGGGTTTGGACCACTGGGGACTTCATGTGCACTGGCATTGAAGATCTTGTTTTGCCACTGAAATGGTGGCCTTGGGGATCTAGAATGTCCTCTCTTTGGACCCTGCTGTTGATCATGAGCATGAATGCCTTTGTTAGCATCTCTTAGAGCCATATCCTTGGAATTTTGTGTACTACCACCTTCTCTAGCTGAAGCAGTTACCATGGTGTTCCTCTTCTTAGCACCCTCCTTGGTAGAAGTTAAAGGAGATTCTAGCATGGCCATAGTGAAGTGAGAAACTAGGAGCAAAGAAAAGAAGATGGCCATGCAAGTGGAGAAGGAAGATGCTGTATCACCAGCCATGCAAAACTAAGTGCCTTGTAAAAATCATCCAAGAAACGTAGCTGGCTAGCTTATTAGGTGTGTGATCAACACTTTAAAGGGATAACGGTTGAGTATGTGACTATGTCAATATGGTGAAACTTTTTGGAGCTCAAGGTGACAAAGAGAAGGTAGATTATTGTTTGGGGAAGATAGTGGGGCTTATATATGACAAACAAGTTAAACTATATATAAAAGATGGAAAGAGAAAATCTCCAGATTATATGAAAAGGGAAAGCGAGGATTGATGAATATATATATATATATATATTTTTTATAGACAAAGGCCTAAGCCCACACAAACAGAAAAGAAAACAGCAACAAAGAAAACCTAAAGATTACACACCATATCACGTGGTCTACTAACAGAAGCTAAATCAGCCAGCCGCAAAAGCCTAATGCCAGGAGGAGGATTTGACCAAACCATATTAGAAATCTGTTGTGGAGAATCTAAAATATAGTTGGCCAACCAATCAGCACAAGAATTCCCTTCTCTAAAGGTATGCCTGAGAGACACAGACCATTTCTTTTGCAACCATATCCGTATAGGAGTAATCAGATGACACTCACGGATTGCTACACCAGTATTGGATAGCATAGTGATAATACTAGCAGAATCACTTTCAAGAATTATATTACGGTAACCAGCAGCCCAAGCCAACTCCAAACCCCTCAGGACACCCCAAAGCTCAGCTTTAAAAGAATTACAACACTCCAACCTATAAGCAAATTCACCCAACCACGTACCATGGGCATCTCTCATCAAACCACCACAAGCTGCAGAACCAAGAATACCACGGGCTGCCCCATCAGTGTTAACCTTTATCATTCAAGGAGGAGGAAAATGCCAAGAAATATCAATGCTCATAGATCTTTTCTTAACAAACCGATTGGGAAGATTACAGCCAGCAACCTTAATATCTTCAATTAAATTCTGAATTATCCAATTTCTATTAGTAACCGAGAGCAAAGAGGACCCATACAAGACCTCATTGCGCCAATTCCAAGATTTCCAACAAGAGACAAAGAAACATGACAATCAACTAACAGCGCCATTATCATACATTGCCATTTTGAAATTCAAATCTAACCACACATACAAATCACCAAGAAAGAAACAATGCAAATAATTATATGGAATATATTTATTATTGAAAAGAATATTTTTATTATTTATAAATATCCATTTTCTTATTTTATTAGGATTTAGGTTATGGGCTAAGTCTATTAATATTTTTATATATTGTAATCTCTTATATCAATTCAAGTACAAACTTTTTTTTCAATTTTTTTTTCGTCTCTTGTTTTTCTATAATTTGCGTCGGCATATTCGACTTCTTTGTAATGAGTGGAAATGTGATTGCAACCAGGGCATTGCCATCTAGATCTAAAGTAAATATATATACTACACACACAGGTGGCTCACTGAGACAGGACATAGCAAATGATATCTAAATATACAGAAATTCTTAGGTAAGTAATAAAAAATCTTGCTATGTCACCTCAATCATGACATTAAAATTGCTATTAAAGTAAAATAGAGTGATAATTCACATAACTAATATGATCCACATTAATTTATACAAAATGAGAACTTTTCTTCTTCTTGTAAATAAATTCAATAAGTAACAAGGAGGCAACAATAAGTTGTAACAAGAAGACACCCAAGAGCCACAAACCAATGCACCACAAAATCTAGGACGGTGAAACCCTTACATATATATAATTTTTTTTTCATGACCTTTTTTTTTTATCAAATTCATTCAGAGTTACCGCAACTTCAATTTCACTATTTTTATTTTAAATTATCATTCATCTTTTAAGTCCTAATTACTATACCAAATTCAGTTACCAAAATTTTAAATCTCAATACTATTAAAAGTGAGAAAAAGGTTAACCATTTAAACAATTTCAAGTAGGGGAGTGATACGTTTACAACTTTTTTTTGTTTATAACTCTTACAACCTCAACTATGTTCTCTCGGGAGAACATTCTCCAATAGTGTTCTCCCGAAAAAACATAGTTGATGTTGTAAGGATTGTAAACAAAAAAAAGTTATGAATGTAACCTACCCTTTCAAGTATTAGTAAAATGCATGAAAAAAGAAAGCAGGATAAAGACCCTAGTAAAAATAGTTGAAAGCAGAAACAGAGAAATATCAATAAGCATTGACAAAATTGCAGTTGGTCCTAATTTCCCCTTCATCCTGGCCCGTGAGAACTTCAATGTTACCAAGCTTTGCCATGGACACCGCAAACTGGTGCTTGAAAATGTAAGGCGCGGAAGCTAATGCAGAAACAATGGGAGAAGTCCTTGGATCAGAATATAACAACTGATCTGTTGATAACAACCCCTTTTTCTTCTTGAGATTTATGTAGTACACAGGATCAAAGGCCCTTGGCGTTGTAGCATCAAGATCCACAACCTCTGAGGCCCATCTACACTTTCTTTGCAAGAAGTTGAGGTAATTGGGATCTATAGATGGGTCTGGTTTCCCAGTTCCTTGGTAGTTGTATAACCTATCTTGAATGGATCCACATGAAGCCCTTCCAATTGTATGAGCCCCTATCACATTATACATACATACATAGTTCATAATAATTTTACAAGAAGATTTTGAAGGAAATTGGTGCCAATTCATGTACTTGTAACTAATAAATATTTCTTTCACATTATATATATGGGTCATGGTAAATCACACTATTAAATCTGGGTTATTAATCCTACTTTTATCTATCGATTCTAATTTTTTTAATTACGTGATTCATTAAATATAAATAGATCAATGACCAAGAATAAGTGTAAGACTTTTTATTCCTATACCAGCATAAGAAGAAGGTGCATATATGGGAAGGATATTCTTACGTCAGTATAAGAATAAGAAGTCTTACATTAAATCATTATTGATTTGCTTCCATCTAACGGTTCAAATATTTAATAAACCAAACCGTTAGATATAAATAAAAATCAACATCCAAGATTAAAAGTGTAATTTACACTGTTATAAATAGAGTAATAATTTGAGGAAGATTTTGCAGGAAAATTAGTGTCAATCCATGTAATTGTAATTAATAAATGTTTCATTTAGTTTACCTGAGAGAACAACTAAGTCAAGCACATTCAGGCCCTTGGATTGGAGAAACTCAACCAAATAAGTAATGTTTTCATGACCCATGGGCACCATTTCAGCTTCCTTGGCAATGGAAACCAGCCCATCTTTCCTGCCATAGGGAACTGCCCAATATAGACCACCCAACTTAACAGTAGCATCCCTAGTAGCAGCAGTCAGAATGTCTGCACAAGAAACAGTCTTGGGGCAATTCTTCTCCAACTCTGCCTTGATATCATCAATCACTTCAAATCCTCTCAGTGTCTTGCTTACTTGTGATGTCCTCTCACTTCCATCATGGTTCAAAAGAATGGAGGCATCACATCCCTGTATGAATATAGCACAAATGAGCACTACACAGAATCAAAATTACCCACTTTTGGAGAGCATAAATATATTATTACTTATTTACCCTGACAGAGCAATCATGGAAATGTAACCTTAGGAGACTAGCAGCTAAAGTGTGATCCTTTTGAATCCATTCAATCACTTTCTTGTGCAGGATGGATTCAAATTGCTGACAACTTTTTTGGTAGTAACCAAAGGATAGGAGATTATCCAAGTTGGTTTCCTCTAATGTTGGCACTTTGAGAGTGTAGATAATATCCCCTGGGGAGGAAGTGAATGGCACATCATAATCTTGAGGAGGATGTGCCGAGGCTGAAATGGTGTAAAGAAGCAAAAGAATGAGCAATGAGAAGGGTGAGTTGGACATACTCACTCTGTGATATTAACCCCCGACACCAGAAATTGGTTGCTGAGACAACTTGGGATAAATGTTGAGGTTTAGGTGATTTATATATAAAGGAAGACTTTGACTTCAACATTGCGAATCTGTGATTATGTTATTAGGCTGGACAAACGTGGGATGCACCCATTGAAACATAGACGACATGCAAGCATGTAGCAAACAGGTTCTTTTGATTGATCGTTCTCCCACTATTATTCAATGTTTATGACTTGGAATGGCTGCATATTGCATAATTATCATTTGGTTTTATTGTTTCATTCAATGCATTTAATTGATTTAGAAGTTTGCCCCTTTTTGTGTGTTTGTGTGTGCCTGTTGGTTGACATTGACTCAAGTGTTTGTTAATTTTCTTCTTTTTGTTTTTTTTTTTCCCTTTTTTCTCTAATTAAAAAGTATGCAAACTAGTGGAGTCCAATCTAAAGACATACACTAAACCAATGTTATAAAAATGGACCGGTGATTGATGGGATATTGGGTCAGTGGATCATTGATCTAAGAGGCAACATGGGACTTATGTATGTGCTGATGTCTGCAATGGCAGATATTAATATTTTTTTATTTATTTTTTTCGGTGGATAAAAGTGATGATTTATAGTGTAGACACAGTCTTGTTTGCCATCAGCAACATTGGAAGGATTGAAGAGGAACTGGAACATTTACGTGGCAATAAACAAGGTGAACGTAAGATCTTTGAGAGGATACGATTACGATGTGTATAATGATCTCGGAGAGCCTGACATAAGTGACCCGTTTTTGGTGGCGACCAACATCCATATACTAAACGTTGCAGAATCGAAAAATCTTATTGCAAAACATGTATATCTCTCACATGAATTCACAATTCATTTAGTAATATATAGATCAATTTTTTTAAAATAAAATAAAAATATATTATTAAATAATAACTTAAGCTTTTCTAGGCTTAAAAAATTAAACTTATTTTGAATATAATCGTTTTATTGTAATAGCTTATTTAACTCTTGATTACTATTTTTTTTATGTTTAGTTGAAGTTTTTGTCTTTTTATTTTTTAATACATTTAAAATTTTTATTAAAAAAAAATTCGGGACTGCACCCTCCACTAAATATGCACACACAAATACAATTTTCTGGATCCGCCACTGCTAATAGGTGAGTTACAGGTTTAACCGTTTGATTGGAATTTTAAAAAGTATGTAATAAATATTATAACTGTGATAAAATATCTCAAGTGAGGAATTATATAGTGGTTGTTGTCTTTTATTTCATACTATGTCACAAGGGTTCAGGTTCAAGTTTTTGATTTTTTAAAAAACACCAAAATCAATTCAACCATTAAATCAGTCCGGGTTTTCATCGGTTAAACCTGGGTCGCAGGCAGGGGCGGACCGAGGGGGTGCTAGGGTAGGCGGTCGCCTCCCTCAAAATTTGAAGAATTTTTTTAATATAAGTATAATGCAAGAAATTTCTATTTTTTCTCTCTATTAATGTGAAGTAGTTTTCTCCCATCGCAGAGAGTTTATAGAGTTTATAAGATCTGTTTACAAATTACACTAAGTATGACCAGTCATACACTCTTGATCAAAGTATGACGGTCAGACACAGTATAGTTTGTTTGTAAGAATTTCTAAACGAAAAGCTTGTAAATATAACCTTCCCGTTAAATTATAGTTTAAACCTCAACTTGAAACTTACAGTTTCAACTTTTATTATGCTTAGATGTTAACACAAATCTTCCCATCCATGAATAAAAATAAGAAGTTCGAGAGTCTTATGAAAGAACGAACCTTATTCTTTCGATCCCTCTCCTTTTCTGATGATTCGTGACAGAGAAGGAAGTGAGGGGCAAAAGGGTTTTGGTGATTGTGCTTCTTGTCAATTTGTCTCTTCTGATTTATCTTTGACTTTTTTTTCTCGTTGGGCTAACAGTGAGTAAATAGAAAAAGAGGTTAAGAAATGAGAGAGGTCTTCTTTGAATTATCTATTTAAATATAGTAATTAGTTAATATTTTTTGTGAAATCTAAATCTTTGCTCTCTTCTCTCTTTTTTTTGGTTTCTTTGCATAAAAAAATGTTCATTTTAGGGGTTGAAAAGTTGTAGTTTTTTTTTTTCAAATTGATAGTAGATTTTACTGTGACATCTTTCACCTCTCTCTCTCTGTCTCTTTCTTTCTCTCTATAACAAGTTAAAAGAGTATTTATGAGTTATGTTCTCTGGATTGGTGTTTCGGCCTCATATATATTGTGGTTGAAGAGAGGAACAAATATTTAATTTTTCGTATTTTGACCTCTCGTATATTAGAGAGAAACAAATGTTTAATTTTTAGCCCCCCACAAAAAAATTCCTGGGTCTGCCACTGGTCGCAGGCGGGTCACTCGTTATCGATTCATATGCGTATATGGTTGTCCATGACTGATTTTTATAAAGGTTATTTTCTTATTGAGGTTGTTAATAAATAGAAATATAAGTATAAATGGCTAAGGAGGAAAGACCTAACTAAATAGTAAGTGAATGGATTACCAAAAAAAAAATAGTAAGTGAATGAGATGAAGGTGAGTATCGAAATAATGAGATCTTCTTCTGTGCATAGGTAGTACATACATCAGTCCCAAAAAAGGAAAAAATGTGAAGACTCAATGGGAGAATATAAAAAAAAAATCCCTGAATATGGCATTTCACTCAGCCATACTTTGGGCTATTTAAGAGAGAATATTCCTCTTCATGTTGTACTATATGGGAGAAATTAAGAAACCCAATGACAAAAACAACCGAATCGTATACCATGATAATTGAAGTCCTTACATGAGGAAAAACGCCGCTTATTGCAGCTGTAACAGCCCAGTCATGATGAGATCACAAGGAAAAACATATTGTAGTTTTGTAAAATCATAGATACATATTATATTTCTTGGTTAAAAAATTCATATTCTCGAAAGCATTTTAGGTGATGTTGATATAAAATAATGGAAAAATGTTTGTTCTTTTAAACGACACAATTTATATTATTTTACTCTTATAAAAAAATAGGACTCGTATCTTTATTTTTTCTGGTCAACTTTTTCTCTTTCTTTATCTATTTCTTTTTCTCACTCAAAATAACATAATTTTACATTCTTTAAAATGACATACACTTTTTTCATAAAACAATATCACTCACAAAGGAACTTTCTTATAGATAATGTCTAAGGTCAGAAGATAATATCCATCATAATTTAGAATATAATGAAGAGCATTATTTATGTCCTTCCTGATTAAAAAAAGTCAAAGTATATATATATATATATAATATATATATATATATATATATATATATATACACGAATCTTACAAGAAACAAATTTAATCTTGAAAAAAATATAACTATATATTATGAATAGTATATAGTTATAATATTAATATTTTTTTTCTTTTCTCAGAAGACTATCGGTAGACACATGACAGAGAGAGAAAAAATAATTTTAATATTATAACTATCTATTACTTATAATACATAATTATACTCTACAATGAGTAGATTTTTCTTCCTACAATTCTTATATTTCCCATATATATATTATGTGAATTGAAAACTGTTTCAAGTTCAGAAATGTACAAAGGTTTTGTCATATTCTCTTGGATAAGCATCCACAACGTATATTTTGTCATTTCTAATCATAATTAGTCAACCGTTGATTTATAGATAAATATCTTTACTCTCTTTCTCTTCTCTTGCTCTAAGTCTTTCGTTTGTGAGAGCGGACGTAAGGGTCATCGTTTTTATCTAGGGGCAGTTTCACTGGTCTCTCTCTTTCTCTCTCTCTATTGACCTTTTTTTTTTAATAAATTACTTAGATCTATTAGAGCTTGAGTTTGTTTATTCAATTATGTTTATCTCAATGACAGATGTTATGTCTTTGTTGTCCTTTTTATGGGAGTTTCGATTTTTCCTTTTTAGGGTTTTTTTTGTTAATTTCCCTTTAGTTGCTTATATATTGATGCTCTTGCAAGTAAAAAGAGTTTCGTATCTACTCGAGGAAGAGGTATAATATACTCCTTTAGCTATGACAATTTTTGTACTCGTTAATAGTATTTGGATTAGAAACAGAGCTAGAGATCGTTAATATAATGACCCTAACTGGTAAATCTTAGTTAGAGATTTAATTTAAGGATTTAAATGCCATAATTAGATTCAGTGAGCGATTTCGAGTATTTTGACTGTAATCATGACTATGTTATGAACAGTGCGTTCTGCCGGAGAATTTACAGTTTTGTGAATTAACCGGTAGAGCTTAAAATGAGCAAAATAATTTTAGGAACATAATTTGAAAATTCTGATGACAAATATGAGTTCAGAACGAAAAATTGTATAGTCTGGCACTTTCCGTGAAAATCTCGTGAATAGTGTTTCTACCGGGTATTTTGTACTGCTGTTTAAGCAACCGGTAGAGTCCAGAAATAAATAATTGATGAAATAAGAATAAGAAAGTCCAATATATGCCAAGCAAGTCAATATAGGCCCAAGAAAATGATAAGTTTATAAGTGTTAAGTTTTAAAAGTAAATAAAGTACAATTAGTGATTCACAGTGCATTTCGTCAAAAACGGTGCAGAAACCATACTGTGAATTATGAATATTGTTTTGTAATAGATAAAAATTAATGTAAATGATTTTAGAAAAATAAAAATATGTTCGTAGTTTTAAGTTAGTTCCGGGTCTATTTAAGTTAAAATACGCGATAAAAAAACATCCGATGAAAATGGCCACATGTGCCTATATAGCCTTGTCACTTAAATGAAACACTATTCATTTCAGATTTTCTTCTTCTCTCTCTTGCATGGCCGAGCTGCACATGGAGGGGAAGGGGCTAGGGTTTCAAATTTTCCTTCTTTGATTTCTTCATCATCCATCCACCAAATCCAATGACCCACCACATGAAATTGATTGGAAACCACTCAATGAATCCATTCCACCTATCCATTTGAGCTATAGTTGAGTGTGTGAAGAGTTATTCCTCCTCTCATTTTCGAGTTACTATTCATTGGAGGAGAAAAAGTGAGTTTTTGGATGGAGCTTGGCTTGGAGATTGCTCTCTAGGCTTTGTACAAGTGTTTAGAGGTAAGAAACCTCTATTTCCATGATATTATTTTGATGATTTAAGTTATGAAATTGATGAGCATATTTTATTGGGAAATAATTGATGTTAGAATGTGAAATTTATGATGGATTATTGTTGTTTAGGAAGTTATAGTGTTGAGTAAGCATCCACATGTGATATAAAAATTTAAAAGTCCTATTGCATCTTCCTCCTAGGTTTCGGCCATCATGGAGTGAGTAGGAGTTATTGTGGAAAAAATTATATATGTATTGTGAAGGTATAGTGTGTTGGAAATGAGTGAAAATGGATGAGTTAGTAAGAATGCCTAAGTAAAAAGGACTTGGTGTCTAAACTCAAAATAGGAATTTAGTGGAAGCATTCCTAGGTGTTTGCAAGTTGTAATGAAGTAACGAAAATGTATTGTAAAAGAGAAGGATCTTTGGAAATTCCCCTTATAGGATTCGACCTATAGGGTATTTAGGGATATATCTTGTACATTTTATTTTAAATAAAATGTGTTGTAATAAATTGTATAAAAGTGATGAGTTTTGAAGAAAAGTAGCATGATTTATGTTGAAAATTCCTAAGGGAATGGTTGATTAAATTAAAGAACACCAACGGTTATAAAGAGGTCTAGACTTGTGTATTGGCATAGGATTGGCAAAAATGCAAAGAAAGGAAAATAAGCGATAAAATGTATGCTTATGAAATAATTATGGTATTGCATCATTTTATTGATGCATTGTAAATTATTCTCTAGGTGTGCCTAGGGATTGAGAAGGATCGGAAATCTCTTGAAGTGATAAAAGTAACTTGTTCCACAAGTAAGCGAATTGGTAAAGCTTCAAGAGGTAAGCTCTATGTTTAAGGAGTCTTTTCCTGCTTGAGTGCTCCACCATGGTTAGTGAACTATGGTTGGACTGTATGACTGTGATTTAGATGCTTTGTATAGATGCATTCATATAGAGTTATTTGATAACATGATATGTTTTGCTCTGATATGACTTCTGTAATATGATTTCTGTAACAATCTCTGGCCATTGATTGTATAGTACCCGGATGTCCGCTTTGGGGTCCTCCCTCGGGACTGATGGTGTACGCCTCTGATATGTCTGGTTCCGCTTTGGGGTCCTCCCTCGGGAACACGTGCGTTGACTTCCGCTTGGGGTCCTCCCTTGGGAATGACGGCGCACATCTCTGATATGATATGGATATATGCTCTGTTCTGTTATGATATCTGTTATATGTTGTATTTGTATACTCTGTATCTGACTTTCATGCAGGAGTGAGCCAGGGGTATGGAGAATTCTCTATAAACCTGGAGCTTACTGAGATTTGTAATCTCACCCCTCTTTGTGGACATATTTTCAGGTGCCCAGATTCCCAGTGAGTCCTCACTAGGCAGGGACACGACACGTGGCTGAGGCAGTTGACAGACCGGATTTTGAGTGGCTGTAGGCTACTACCTTTTTGGAGTGTTTGATGTATTTTAGTATTTTCGCATTTGATGGATCATGATATTGATCCTTTATTTTGTATATGGCCTGTATATGTTTTGTACACGTCTGTCGCTTTGATGCATGTACATTTGGGTATTCAGGCACGTTATGTGATGAGGTAGTATTCAGATATGTTTACCTGTTGGATTGCATGCTGTTAGATATAGTGGCACTGAGCCAAGTTATGCATGCGCCCATGGATGGGCATTTGAGTATATTTGTATAAACTGTTTATCAGGAAATGCTTCTGTGTGGGATTGGAAAATCCCCAGTTGTCCGATTTATAGAGGAAACTCTGCCCGATTTTCGTTTACGACGAATGAGAATTTAAAAAGAAAAAGAAAAAAAGTTAGCTCGTATTTTCAGAAGTTAAGTCTTCCGCTGTTTTCTGTTTTATCATATGTATGTTAATTGAACCGGCTCGAGACGGGGATGTTACCGTTAATTAGTTCAGAGCATAGACTATATTTATTTATTTTATCCAGATTTACATATTTTTTTATTTATAAATGTCATTATTTTTTTTTGTTATAAATTAATTTTCTTTCTTGTTAGTAACGTCAATCATTTTTTTCATCTACTTAATAATACATATTTCCAAGTTAAATGGATCACTAAGTTAAAATTTACACTTTTAGTTATGTTATGTCTCCCTAAAATATTTTCACTGTTAAAATTTACACTTTTAGTTATGTTATATCTCCCTAAAATATTTTCACTATAATTTTTATGGAAAAAATATTTCTGCTTTTGCTACATAAATTTTTCTTTTGCAACAAAAGCAGAAATATTAAACCCAATTTTCGTAATAAGAAATAAATTATTAAATGAAAAAGTAAATGCAGCCAATTCTTGAAAGCATAAAAATATTCAACATTTTATTCATTTGACAATATTTAGAAAGATTATTATTATAAATGATTAAGATGATTTAGAACTATTCTTACACTTTACATATCTCAACAACTTAGGGGTTAGTTTCAATGGATCAGAAAAATTTGACGTGTTAGACCAGCACTCGCTTCCTTTATTTGTTTGTATCTCTTATCACTAAAATTGGACACTCTAATTTCAAGTACATTTAATGTATTTGGGGTATGATGATTCCTATGAATATTCTATTATCGATGTGGATAGCTAGTATGTAATTGGATTAGTTAATCTACACCCAAAATGTTTGAACATTACCTAAATGCAATACTAATTAAACATACATATACACCACTGTTTGCACCCATTAGTTATAGAAGTTATTCTATCATGACAAGATGTTCAAATCACGCAAGGAAACTTTACTATGGATAAGAGTTACATCTATAACAATCAATAATACATAATGGTAAATTTTGGTTTTGTTGTTTAGAGTTTCTTCTCATACAAATTTAATTTTAAAAATAAAAAGTTAGAATTAGTCTAATGATTATTCTATTTAAATAAATTAAATAAAACTGAAAATTAAATTTTGAGATAATTAAAAAAAAATCCCTAATTCTGAAATATAGAAATAGATATCCATAATAATTAGAGAATATAATTTCGCATAACTTCTTGTTGTCTGTCACGGGAGATCTTTGGGGCATGACATGATCAACCAAAATATTCCTATTTGTTTCTTAAAGAAACCAAGCCAAACCCACCACACCCTTTTTTGTGAAATGCTGCAACAACAACATGGAAATTGATTGGTGAACCATACTCGAGAAAGACTAAATATATATTTTGGATAACTACTTTACAGTTAAGATATTAAAGGGTATACCATAAGATTTCAAAAGGGAGGGACCAATTAGGAAATGAAAAAGGTTCACATGCAAGACGCATATACAGAGAAGCTAGGCGTTATTATATATCCCAAGTGATAGAGGATAAATACGAACAACAGGCCATACATGCTATGAATCAAAACAAAAAGAAATAAAAATGAATGAACAAGTTGTATAAGTTCCTATAATGTACTATATCTGTTAGCTGCGGATAAGCCTTAATTGTAGGGGTCAATATACTCGTGTTTACGATGGGTAGGCTCGTGAACTATAGAGTAAGTTTTGAAGACAAAAGGGCTGGTTATACATTTTGTTGTATTATAGGCTTTTCCATCCCCAATTGACCTCTCTTTTAATAATATATAATGATTGTTAGAGTAGTCTTTACTAATGTTCATTTTGGTAGATTGGTTAATAATACGACAGATGCATCTAATTAATGATAAGACTTGATGATGCTCAATGGAATCATCATTCATCACTGTTCTAGAATGTTGGTCATATTAGTTTTCAAAGTACCACCAATAGAGAAAGATCAATTATATTCTTGTGTTTTCTACATATGTAGTTATCATAGCATTCTTTGTTTTTCCTTTAGGAGTTAGGACTTATGTGGTTAAAATTGATTAAAGGATTATATTAACCCTTATAAGGGTTAATCTCCAGCATTATTGAAGCCCATGCAGGTACATATTGCACTGGATGCATACTCTGGATGTACAAAAGTGTTCTACACTTCAATACCAAAGCTGAAATTCAATAGGCAGATCAGATACATTCCAAGAGATAGCATTAAGAAATAAATGATTGACTCATCCATCCAAATTCGGTTTGAAATTTTTGTTTAGCTTTGGATTGGCATGGAGCCATGGACATAAACAAATCAAGAGTATAAGAAACATTATTTTACAATTTTTTTAATCATTAATTAGGACAACAGTAACATTATTGAGTAGGCAGAGCAGAGAAAAAAGGAAAGCTTTTGGAGTAGGCAAAAGGTTTACGTGCAAACAATTAAAAATATGAAACGCTACAAAAGGACATCAGGTTTGGTAATTCAAACCAAAAAGATTGACAAGAAAGCAATACTACATAGAAATATAGAATTCAATTGATTTTTTTTTTTTCTTTTGGTCCTAGCATAAACTAAGCAGAGTTCTTTAATTTTTAATTTTTTTTGTATAAAACAGAAAAAGAGTGAGGATTAGTTGGAACTTAACAATTTACCTTGCTTGCTTGGGAATGATAATGCTTCGTGGCTCGTGGGGACTCCGTTGACATTGTAAAGCATAGAAAGTACAATTCAAGTTCCTAATCTCAAATCAGCAAGTTTTGAAAAGGAATATTGAACTGCTCACTTTCTCATTCATGTTCATCTAAGACACTATAGCAAGCAAACCCTCTACAACAACTATTCCTTTATGGCCCAACCAACAACTGTATCTCCTCCTCTAACCCCATATCTTCATGACTGCATAATATTGTTTTCTTTTCTTTTTTTGCTTAGTCTCAATCTCTGACCACTGTTGCATTGCATAATACATACTCTTCTCTCTATGATATTTTATTGGACCTTTTCTTTCGCTTTATATTTCCCATGCTCTTTTTTCTGACCCATGTTTGACCTTCTCAATATCAGCTTATCTCTGCTTCTTCATTGAAGTCCCTCTCTCTCTTGTCTCTGAATGACTTAACATTAATGGCAATTGCGGTGCTTGACTGCGAAGTTGTGTTCTCATTTATATTAGCTCATTTCTCATTTGTCACCCATTTTGACTCTTTCTAGCATCACACATGCAACAGATATCAACTCATCCCCAACGCATGCCTTGCCATGCATCCATTCATCCACTCTGCCTACACATACACACACTTCAAGAGAACCATAAAAGCAATAGCTCCCCCATGCAATATCCCAAGAACAACCACCCCCATCTTCCAACTCTACCATCAACACCATAAATTTACACTGCCTTCAACTTCATCATTTGGAACAATTTTTGGTGCAACTTGAAGCCAAAGAATCCTCACTTTGGTCAAGTTTGTGAGTGTTGTAAAGTTAAGTTTTCAACCAAATGGCAGCAATAATGAGGATTTCAAAACTTGCAGTGGTTATGCTCCTCTTGTGCTTTTTTTCTATGTTACTAGTGCTTGGCCAGAACAAACTAGACAGTGACACAACTTTGAGAGTGCTTTTGGAAGTGAAGAAGTCTTTTGTGCAAGACCCACATAATGTTTTGAGTGATTGGTCAGAGAACAACATAGACTACTGTAGTTGGAGAGGGGTGTCATGTGGATTGAACTCAAACTCAATCTCAAACACTTTGGATGATGACTCGGTGCAAGTGGTGGGCCTTAACCTTTCTGACTCGTCACTCACCGGGTCAATATCACCTTCACTCGGTCAATTGCAAAACCTGCTCCACCTTGATCTCTCATCCAACAACCTCAATGGTCCCATTCCACCTAATCTCTCTAATCTCATTTCATTGGAATCTTTGCTTCTCTTCTCTAACAAACTCACTGGTCACATTCCCACTGAGCTTGGCTCGCTCTCGAGTCTCCGAGTCATGCGACTCGGTGACAATGCACTAACGGGTATGATTCCCGCGTCTCTTGGAAACCTGCTTAACCTTGTCAACCTTGGTTTGGCTTCCTGTGGACTCGCTGGGTCGATTCCTCCTCAACTCGGTCAACTCAGTCTCTTGGAGAATCTGATCCTGCAGGACAACGAGTTGATGGGACCGATTCCGACCGAGTTGGGGAACTGCTCAAGCCTCACCATTTTCACTGCTGCTAACAACAAACTCAATGGCTCAATTCCTAGCGAACTGGGTCGACTCCAGAATCTACAAATTCTCAACCTTGCCAACAACAATCTATCAGGGGAGATTCCGAGTCAACTCGGTGATATGAGTGAACTCGTTTACCTGAATTTCATGGGGAACCAACTTGAGGGTGGTATTCCACCGTCTCTGGCTCAACTGGGTAATCTTCAAAATCTGGACTTGTCCATGAACAAGCTCAGTGGGGGAATTCCAGAGGAGTTGGGGAACATGGGTCAACTACTTTACATGGTTCTGTCTGGTAACAACCTTAATGGTGTCATCCCAAGAACCATATGTTCCAATACAACAAGTTTGGAACACTTGATGATATCACAAAGTGGAATTCATGGTGAGATCCCAGCTGAGCTGAATCAGTGTCAATCACTGAAACAACTTGATTTGTCCAACAATTCAATCAACGGATCCATACCTCTTGAGCTTTATGGTTTGGTGGGGTTAACTGATCTCTTGCTTAACAACAACAGTTTGGTTGGTTCCATCTCTCCCTTCATAGGGAACCTCAGTAACTTGCAGACACTTGCTTTGTTTCACAACAGTTTGCAGGGTGTTCTGCCCAGAGAGATTGGAATGCTTGGCAAGTTGGAAATTTTATATCTTTATGATAATCAACTATCAGGGTTTATACCTATGGAGATTGGTAATTGTTCTAGCTTGCAAATGATTGATTTCTTTGGGAACCGTTTCAGTGGGGATATTCCTATCACTATTGGAAGGCTGAAAGAGTTGAATTTCCTTCACCTTAGGCAGAATGAGCTTGTGGGTGACATTCCTGCCACATTGGGTAACTGTCAGAAATTGAACATCCTGGATTTGGCTGATAATCAGCTCTCAGGTGCAATTCCTGCAACATTTGGATTGCTCAAGGCATTGCAGCAGCTCATGCTCTACAACAATTCTCTTGAAGGTAACCTTCCTCACCAGCTGATAAATGTAGCAAATTTGACCAGAGTGAATCTTTCAAAGAACAGATTGAATGGTACTGTAGCTGTACTGTGTAGCTCTAGATCGTTTCTTTCTTTTGATGTTACCAACAATGAGTTTGACAGCGAAATTCCGCCCCAACTGGGAAACTCCCCCTCCCTTGAGAGGCTGAGATTAGGTGACAATAAATTTTCTGGTGAAATTCCAAGGACATTGGCAAAAATCCGTGACCTGTCATTGCTAGATCTCTCAGGAAATTCACTCACTGGACCAATACCAGCTGAGCTTTCTTTGTGCAATAAACTTACTTACATTGATTTAGACAGAAATCTTCTTTCTGGACAAATTCCATCATGGCTTGGAAATTTGCCTCTGTTGGGAGAGCTTAAGCTCTCTTTCAATAATTTCTCCGGACCTCTTCCATTTGGCCTATTCAAATGTTCCAAGTTGCTAGTTCTCTCTCTAAATGACAACTCTCTCAATGGAAGTCTACCAGCTGGTATTGGTGATCTTGCATACCTTAATGTCCTTAGGCTTGATCATAATAAGTTCTCTGGACCAGTCCCTCCTGAGATAGGTAAGTTGAGCAAGCTTTATGAGCTCCAGCTCTCCAGAAATAGCTTTAATGGTGAGATGCCAACTGAGATTGGTAAACTTCAAAATCTCCAAATCATTTTAGACCTTAGTTACAATAATCTCTCAGGTCATATCCCACCTTCTCTTGGGACTTTGTCAAAATTAGAAGTACTTGACCTTTCCCACAATCAACTCACGGGAGAAGTCCCTCCACAAGTTGGTGAAATGAGCAGCTTGGGAAAGCTTGATCTCTCATACAACAACCTTCAAGGAAAATTGGACAAGCAGTTCTCCCGCTGGAGAAATGAGGCATTTGAAGGGAACCTACATCTTTGTGGAAGCCCTCTTAAGCGCTGCTACAATGATGCTGCTACTGGCAGTGAGCACTCAGGCCTAAGTGAATCATCAACAGTGATAATCTCTGCCATTTCAACTTTAGCTGCAATTGCATTATTCGTATTTGCAGTGAGAATCTTCTTCAAAAACAAGCAAGAGTTTTTCAGGAAAGGCAGTGAAATGAATTATGTTTACTCTTCTTCTTCATCACAAGCACAGAGAAGACCGCTTTTCCAACTAAATGCTGCTGGAAAGAGAGACTTCAGGTGGGAAGATATCATGGATGCCACCAACAATCTAAGTGATGACTTCATGATTGGTTCAGGAGGTTCAGGGACGATCTACAAAGCTGAATTGGCCACTGGAGAGACAGTGGCTGTCAAGAAGATTTCTTCAAAAGATGAATTTCTGTTAAACAGAAGCTTCATAAGAGAAGTGAAGACTCTAGGGAGGATTAGGCATAGACATCTGGTGAAGCTAATAGGTTATTGTAGCAATAGAAACAAAGGAGCAGGTTGGAATCTGTTGATATATGAGTACATGGAGAATGGAAGTGTATGGGATTGGCTTCATGGGAAACCAACCAAGGATGTCAAAGTAAAGAGGAGCCTTGATTGGGAGACAAGGTTCAAAATTGCTGTTGGATTAGCTCAAGGAGTGGAGTACATCCATCACGATTGTGTGCCAAAGATCATTCACAGGGACATCAAACCCAGCAACATATTGCTAGATTCCAAAATGGAGGCACACTTGGGAGATTTTGGACTGGCAAAAGCACTCATTGAGAATTATGACTCCAATACTGAGTCTAGTTCTTGGTTTGCTGGGTCCTATGGCTACATGGCTCCAGGTAGTTATCAAATTGCTGATTTGAATTGACTTTGATCTTAAACTATTTTTAGTCTAACTTACACTGCTGAACAAACTTGTTTAATATTGTCTTGTTTTCAGAATATGCATACTCCCTACAGGCAACAGAAAAAAGTGATGTTTACAGCATGGGAATTGTGCTTATGGAACTTGTTAGTGGTAAAATGCCAACAAATGAAATGTTTGGAGCAGAGATGGGCATGGTGAGATGGGTGGAGTCGCACATTGATATGCATGGCTCTGCCAGAGAGGAATTGATAGATCCTGAGCTAAAACCTCTTTTACATGGACAAGAGTTGGCTGCATTCCAAGTGCTTGAGATAGCCTTACAGTGTACAAAAACTACACCACAGGAGAGGCCATCTTCAAGGAAAGTATGCGATCTTCTCCTCCATGTATTCAACAACAGAATGGTGGACTTCCAGAAGATGAATTTGGCTCATGGCAAGTGAATTTATGCAGACTTTTGTCCATGATACTTTTGAACTTCATTTATTGTTTTTTCTTTTCACCTTACTTGGATTTTGTGTAGAAAAACGCTGGCATAGTTGCTGTGATTTAAGAGTTCCAACTAACGGCCAAAATTGGTTGCACGTCCTACTAATTTTCAATAGTTTATCTGGACTACTCTTGAGCTAACTTCAAGCAGTAAGGAATCACATCAGTTCTTGCAGTTATAATTTTAAAGCCATCATTTTGCTTGAGTAATTTAGGCATTTCTATCGATGTTTCATTCCAAAACTACTCCACATGCTAAAAGTTAAAAAGAGACAGGTGATTTGGAATTGGATTTTTCATTTTATAATCATCTAATATTTTCTTATTGCGAGTCCTTTCAACAATATTAAATGTAGAAAACTTTTACATTGTGAGTTATGCCAAAATGTCATTATAATGCTCAAAAGAGAGGGGCGGGGGAGCTAATAAACTTGAAAAAAGAATCAATATATCAATGCAGTAGAATAAATAATGAAAGAAAATTCGGGTTAAGATAACGGAAGCGGTTGTGACAAGGTAAATTCACTGTCTTGGACCTGCACTTTCCGTTCACAGTTTCAGAACCTTCGCAATCACCATACCTCAGCACTACCCAGCCTTAAGAAAACAAAAATAAATAAACCTAATAAAAATAGTATTTAATATTTCTATTTTTGCTGCAGAAAAAAATTCTCTACCACTCACATAAAAATGAGTGAATCCAATTATAAAGAAAAGAGAGAGAATAGATTAATAAGACCCATTAACTTTTATGTGAATGTAGCAGAAAATTTTTTACTACAACAAAAGCTGAAACATTTTTCCCATAAAAATATTGTAAGAAAAAGAAAAACATAGATAAGTATAGAGCCACCGTGACTGTCAATTCCTGAAGAGCATCGGAACTCAGTTTAAAAAGTATTCAAGTATTCAAACTGAAAATGTCTACGCAAAATTGCCTCCGGTAATAACGTTTTTTAAAAACATTAATCAACAATGAAGCTATTGAATTCCTTTAAACCACGACAGCCAAAAGTGCCTTTTCCCTAAATAGTTAACAACCCAAAAACCCATCCACAGAAGTCACAACGTACCTGTTATTTCAAAATGCACATATACCTCAATTTACAGAGAAACCGTTCATTTCAGTGCAGTGGAAACAAATAGTAAAGCAATACAGCAAGAAAATTTTGATAAAACAAAACCGCAATAAATCAGAGACGAGAATTACTTATCTATCAAATAGTAAATACCAATGGGGGAACTAGCAATCTAGCATTTTTTGGAAACAAACTATGTAGGATCACTAAACCCCACAAGGCATCCTTTCAAAACCAGTGCTCGGCTGTGATTAGTATTTTACAAATGCCTGGTGCAATGGGCTGTTTTATTCTCCAAAATCACCAAACTCATGGCATGTACACATTAGATAAAAGATTTTGGAATCACAGTTACCACCAAGGAAGTTATCGGATAAAGTCATTATTATTAATGAAGCCATAAGCCCATAACATTATCATCTATCAGTTTCATTGCTTGTAGAAGCTTGTGCAGAAAACAGGTTGATTGGCATGAAAAAGCTTTAACAGCCTTACAAACATAACAACATGAAATCATAAAACAAAGGTAACAAGTTCAACACATTTCACGATTACTTTCACCAACTGCTGCAGTCCTTGAAGGCATGCACTAATCGTCCTCTGCATCTGCAATGTAATACCACAAATAAAGAAAATGCAACGAGGAAATAAAATGACAATCTAAAAACAACAGAGTAATGACAATAAAAGAGAAATATTGACAAATCAAATAAGCGCACAAGAAATAAAAAAGGACTACAAAACGCATCATAACAGCACAAAAAAGAATTCAATGAAAACATGAAGAAGTGTGAAAAGAATGGAATTTCATGCTGGATTAATCAGTTCTCTGAAGCATCAGATGAATCACATTAATTGGTGGGACTACTCACGAAAATTTCACCAAGCAACAATAAATTGGAAGTTATGCCACAGCATTAAAATAGTAGTAGCTACCTAAAGTTAAAAAATGTCTAGCACACTAGCTTCACTACAGAGTTCTAGTAAATCATATAACAGGAAACAAACAAAATCTTATTTACTACAATGTCAAACCCACTAACAGTTATATTCTTCTGCATAGATAGCTACAGTTTAATATGAAGCAACATCATGCTACTTCAAAATCATTATATTTAAGTGACTTTTAGAATTGCATAGGTAATAGGTTACATTATCCTCCTCTAATTAGTGTTTTCAAACACCAGAGAAATTTAGGAGCATCTGAAATATTAATATCTTCCTCATAACAGATGCCTCCATACATATACTCTGAACTGAAGAAAAGTGATAAAGGGCAAACCCCAATGCAAAAAGGCTCTCTGACTACGATGGTAGGGGTGATAGTCGATTGTAAGCAAACTTACCTTTGTATTTTTGTAAAGACACTATTTTCTAGACTCGAACCCATGAACTTCCGGTCATAAAGAAATAACCTTACCATTACTCGAAGGCTCGCCCTCTACCAAAGAAAAGTGATAGTGCACAAAAATCATTTCTCCAACAGTAAATGAGAGAGAAACTTTATTGTTGCATTTTGAGGCAAACACAACATCCACAACATGAATTATTATACTAGTTCATCAACTCAAAGTCTACACCCCAAACAACCACGAGAAAAAAGGATAGATCAGGGAACAAACTCTCTTTGGCTATGTTTGGAGGGGATGGTATGGAGTGGTTCATAAAAGAGTGGAGTATGTTGGTAACGATTTAAGATAGCTTTGTTTGGACAGTAAATTAGGGTAGGGAGGGAAGTTCCCTTTTCCAAAGTTTACATCCAAATCGCAAAACTATGTGGCACCTTCCCTCCTTTTCTCACCCACATATCTGACCATCGACATCAACCACACAGACTGATCAGCATCAACCATTCCTGCACAGGCACTGCCATCCACACTATCATTCTCCTTCTCCACCACATATCACATGATCTACAATCACAGACTCTCAATTTACAACCCTCTACCGAGTAATGTTGAATCCTCCTATACCATCTTCCTAATTGCTTAGAACATTAAAGTATTAAACGAAAAAGCAGATTAATTTAATATCTTGAAAACCTAAAATTCATTTCATACTTTTCTTCTTTAGGTAATTAGGAGGAAATGAATCAGCTTCGTGTTGGAGCAACCCCTAAATTTTGTACACAAAATTGAAAGATGAGAAATAAGAGATAGTGAAAGTGAGAGTGAACCTATATAACGTCTTTCGTTACATTCCTTGGCTCTTTGGAGCAACTTGTCAAGGTCTTGTTCTTGCTGAGCCTCCCATTTCAAAAGCGATTTCACAAACACCACGCCCAACCCCATTCCTACCACGTGCTCCCATGGATCTACACAGTAATAACAACAAAAATAAAGAATTAAAAAAAAAAACCGAAATTCTGGAGAAACAAACAGAAAATTGGAAAGATAGAGAGAACAGATTATTACGGCGACTGAAGGGAAGTTTGCGGAGAGCATTAGAGTACACCTGAATCCCCAAACCCAGTAACGCTCCGACCGCCGTCGCACTCAGCCCCATTCTTCTCTCTCTGTGTATGTGTGAGTGTGTCTCTCCGCAACCTTTCTTGTTTGTACATAAAACTTTTATTTTTTTTCCCAAATAAAAACGAAAAATATTTGTCATTTTAAATGACATAAAGTTATGTCATGTTAAGATTAAGAGAGATAGATACAAGAAAATATTTTTTTATTTAAAATTTAAATTAAAAAATTCTAAATGACATAAGTTATGTCATTTTAAGAGAGAAATGGACACAAGGAATGAAAATCATGGGAGAGAATGTGAGTGTTAAAATATTTTCTTGTGTCTATCTCTCTTTTAACATGACATAACTTTATGTCAATTAAAATGACAAACATCAGACCCATAAAAATATTACCTTAAAATACCACAAAAAAAGTTTACAATTTTTACAACTAACCTAATTACCATTGATTTTCGTTAATTTAACGGTTATAATTTATTGAAAATTATTGAGTCGTATTTATTAATTAATTATTAATTCTCAATAAATTATAACCGTTAGATTGACGAAAGTTGGTCGTAAAGATGGTAAACTTTTTTAGTGGTAAGTATATTTTGTCACTATATATATTTATATATATATATATAGGGCAATGTTAATCTTATGCAACATAAAAATTTTCTTATCTTCTACTCATACATTGATACTTGTGTCATTTCTTTTTTATTTTTTTTCTTTTCTTTTTTATTGGGCCCCACTTCAAGTTAAGTGTGTAGGAGATAAAAAAAAAATTCTGTCACATGAGAGTATATTTACCCATATATATATATATATAGGGAAAAATAAATCTTGTGTTGTAGGAGAATTTTAATCTCATGTTATAGATACATCAAGTGTGGGACCCACTTTTTAAAAAAAAAATAAGTGGCACATCTTTTTATGATGTGTGTAGGAAAGATTTGTTTTCTCATGCAACATGAGAAAAGCAAACCCTATATATATATATATATATATATATATATATATATATATATATATATATATATAGGGTTCGTTTTTTCTACAGTCAATGTAGATAACTTATCTACAGTAAGCCCAACGTCGTTTTGAGGCGGAAATCAAGGTATTTTTATAATTATAATTTATTTCAGGGTTATGATAGTCTTTTTCATTATAATTTTTTAACTCAAAACGACGTCGTTTTGGGAGCGAATGTAGATAACTTACCTACATTTACTTTAGAAACATTAAACTCATATATATATATATATATGGAAAAATTTTCTCCTACCAAAGACACATAGTATAAGTGGGGCCTACAAAATAGTGGAGAAAAAAAAATTTCAAAGTGGGACCCATTTATGATATGAGTCTTTGGTAGGAGAAAAGAATTTTCCTTTAAAAGGAGAAAATATTTTCCCATATATATAGGAAAAAATGTTTCTGAAGTTAATGCAGATAAGTTATCTGCATTTATTTCCAAAACGACGTCGTTTTGATATTGAAATCTTAAAAAATTATAAATATAAAGACTATTATAACCTGAAATAAATTAAAATTACAAAATCACCATAATTTCTGCCCAAAACGACGTCGTATTGGGCTTACTGCAGAAAAAGTGAACTCATACACACACACACACATATATATATATATATTACCTTTGTTATTAAAAAAAAAAAAGGTATAGTTATCATCAATAAAGTTTATTACTTCTTATTATTAAATTTTAACCGTTAATTTTTATTAATACAATAATTATAATTTATTGAAAATTAATAATAATTAATAAGTATCATGCAATAAATTATAATCTCATATTGACAAAAATTAACGATTAAAATTTAATGGTAAGAAATGAAAAACTTAATTGGTGATAAGTAGATTCATCCCCTAAAAAAACCATGTGATTTTTATTTTTTGCCGTAAAAGTTTAGGAGATGATAACGAGGGGGTGTTTCATACTCATTCTAAAAACAATTTATAGTTTTAAGAAAAAAAAATTATTTGATAAAGTCTGTTTTCTAAAAAAAATTGTAAAAATTATAACTATTTTTTTATTTTTAAAATTAAGGGAGGTGTATTGGATTAGAATTTTAAAATAATTTTTGAGATACTTTTTTTTTAAGATTTTAAAAGACTATTTAAAATTAGAGAGATTTTAAAGACTTTTTTAAAAGACTTTTATTACAATCAAGATTTCATGAGATTGGATTTTAAAGGATTTTAATAGAATTTATAAGATTTGAAAAGACAATATGAATTTATAAGATTTGAAAAAACCATATGAATTATTAACAAACATTCAAAATTACAAGAGTCAATAAAAAACAAAGACATGCAATGATATTAATAATAAAAAAGTAAAACATAGTATAATTTTCTCAATCAGTAAAACCTAATATAATTTTTAATAAACATTCAAAATTACTAAGCAACAACTCTCCACATATCTAAAGTTATACTAGTCATTCACGCATTAGCATCTTCTCGTTCATGCTCTTGGGTTTGACCAATGGTTTGAAAATTATCTTATTAATTAATTGGTGATACTGAAGATGAAGATGCATGAGTAATTATCATTTTCGGTCCTCAGCAAATTTTACGATGCTCACTTTAGTCCCTAGCAAATAAAAAGGCTATTCGTGGTCCCTAAGAAATTTAAAATGGACCCATTTTAGTCCTTTTGAGGGACTAATATGGGTCGTTTTTGAATTTGTGAGGGACAACGATTTCAACTAAATGAGTCTATTTTGAATTTCTTAGGGACCACGAATAGCGTTTTTATTTGCTAGGGACTAAAGCGGGTATCGTGAAATTTGCTAAGGACCAAAAATTGTATTTACTCAAGATGCATCTATTTATTCAATTGAAAATTCATCTGAACGACATTCTTTGCCAAGAAAGTTATGTAGATGCATCTATTTATTCAATTGAAAATTCATCTGAACGACATTCTTTGTCAAGAAAGTTATGTAGTGCTACACATGCTAACACAATTTTGTGTTTTAAATAGAAATGGAGGTGCTAACTTAAAAATTGAGAACAATGATTTAAAAATGTCAAATATCCTCTCAATTACATTTCTCAATGATGCATGACGAAGATTGAACAATTCATTTATATTTTGAAGGTTATTACCATGACATGTATAATCTTGCAGATGATATCGCACACCTCAAAATGAAGCTAAAAATTGGCATTGATTGGGAAATCCATAATCCACTAGAAAATATTTATTTAATTATACATACAATACATATAAAATTAGTATGAAAACTTAAAAAATAAATATTATTTAAAAAATAAATACTTACCTTGGGACCCTTCAAGTCTATTCCTCCCTGATAAAGTATCAGTTGGTTGTTCGGAATCATGAGTTAAACCCTCCCATCCACTGAGAGCATACACGAATTCCAAAATAAAGTTACAAGCTGCTAGTACATTTTGTGAAATCTTTACATGACGATTACGATAACTGCTTACATCTCGTCCCTCACCATTGCAAGAATATGTGTACCATCAATAGCTCCAATGTAATCCTAAATTTATTCATATATAACAATAACTATATTAATGAAAAATACATATTATAATAATGACAATTATAATATAATATTATTATGATTAGATAATTATCACATACCTTGAAATAAGGGTAAAATCTTGTGCTATCCCTTATTTTATTGGGCACAGTAGGTCCCGGTTTAGCCATCTAATCAGATGCTATTAAATTCAAGGCCTTCAAAATCTTGTGAAATTTTCACTTGCAGCAAATTGTCATCGGCCAAATGTATTACGAATTACACAATATCGAGTATTTTGGCCGACAATTTATAGGAAAGATGCAAGCATTTCTTCAATGAAAATAAATCATGTATATATCCTTCAAAGGTGTTTTTTCTTTAAGAATTGTGCATAACTTACGGAATACATCTGGATACATTCTATATACTTGTCGAAAGATATCAGGATCCTCTTTCAAATGCCTGATGTATATAGTCATATCTTATACTGGTAATTGGTCGTTGAGTCAATGGATGTTTAATATGTTCACCACCCATCATAATCAAAAATTGATTTAACATATGCATTAATGCGTAGATTGCCATCATCAACATGTACATGGCTTCATAAAATTCTTCATCTATTTCTTTATCAACTATTTCTTCTTCCTCTAAGTCATTATTTTCACACATGCTCCATTGTGACATTATATGTATATAAAAAAAGTATACTATATTGCAAATAATTAAAAAAATAAAATACCATATGAATAACTCAAATAATTCAATAAAAATACAACCAATAAATTGTTCAACCAAATTTTAACCTAAATACTTCAACCAAATTAGTTCAACCAAATTATAACCCAAATACTAAAACCAAAATAGTTCAACCAAATTATAACCCAAAAACTTCAACCAAATTACAACCAAAATAGCATAAAAAATGTAGTTCATGAAAGGACAATCTAATCAAAATATTAATCATCCTAGCTTGAAATTTATCCAAGAAAAGCGCTCTTCTAACGACATGCTCAAGAACATGTCCTTCTTTGCTTTAGTATTAAGCAAATCAATTGCCAAGAACCAAGTCTTATCCTCCAAATTTGGAATCTCTTTTATAGCATCCCAAATATTACTTTCTCTTTTTCTATCTCTTTCTCTTTCCTCCATTAGGTTAGATATTTTTTCAAAATTCCTAGCAATAGTACCAATGTCAATTGAAAGATTTTCTAGAACTTTAGCTTGTTTGTTGGTTCCAACTAAGGTAGAATTTCCTTCATATTTGGATCTACTTCGATTATTGCGACTTGTTTTTTCAGTGTGAACCTCCAAATCTAAAAGGGAATGAGATGGTGGACTACATTGGTGGGGTGATGGAGAATGGTCGAGTAGTTCATAGTGATTTGGTTCTATGAAGACATCGTTGATAGGATCATACACAAAGTCTTCCATCCTTGAATCCTTATTTTCTTCTCCAAAAGTTGTAGCATTGGTATCATTAGTACCTAATGCAATGGAATCATTCCTAGTAGTAGTTGCACCACTAAAGACAATCTTCAATTCTTCATAATCAACTGCACTCTTTTCATGAAGCTTACTGTGACTTGGATGAGACTGGGAAATAACAAAATTTTCATTGTTAATATATTACAAATAATGTAATTTACTAATCTAGTAAGATATTAATATATTAAAAATAATAATGAACTAATAAGTTCACCTTCAAGTAATCTTCCCATACTTCATCATCTATGGTCCAAGATTCATAGTTCTCTTTCTCTTTGCCATTTCCTTTCTTATTTTCGTGTTGTGAATCCCCCATTTATTATAAAAAAATTAAAACTAGACAATAATTAAAATAATTTTAAATGAGATTAATATCAACACAATTTAAAAATAGGTTTACTCAGATGAGTAAACCAAACCAACATTAAATAGTTCAATCAACAAACAATAAAAAAAAGTATTGAATAAGATAATGATTATGTAGGAGAAAAAAATATAGCACATGTTTACAAAAACAAAGCACATATATTGTTGTCCCTAATTGAGATAAGATACATATACAAATTGCAAACGATGCTTATTAAATATGTATGTGCTCTTATATATATATGGGTTCGCTTTTTGTCATGTCACATGACAAGACCATTTTCCTGCACATACAAATTAAGTGTGGGTCCCACGCTTAAAAAAAAAAAGTCAAACCAAAATCAGGATACGGCGCCGTATCCTCAAGATACGTTGCCGGATCCTTGTTGCAGGAATGAACAGTGTCATTCCTGCAACATGATTCTTATATTTCCCTATATATATATATATAGGCTTTAATAGCTCTCCTGTTGCTGCAGATCAGAAAATTTGCAACAACACTTACTTTCATCAGGATCCGGTTCCGTATCTTGGAATCTTTTATTATTTTTTTAATTTCAGGATCTGGCTCCGTATCTTAATATAAATATATTTGCTGCAAGTTTTTCCATCAGCAGTGACAGCAGAAATGAGAAACCCATATATATATTTGATATAGCTTTTCACCTGATTATTAGAATTTTTAATATGAACGGTTGCCAAACACGAAGAATATTAGGATTTTATGTTCATTATAATCCAAACAATATACAAAAGAAGAAGGTCGACAAAGAATGTATGCGGTAAGCTTATTAGTTCAATTTCAAATTGACGACATGAGCATATACATTATTTAGAAATCAGATACATGTTTATCGTCAACTCTATACAACTCTAGTAAAAAAAATGAAGCACATCATTAATCATGAAGGAGGAATACCAAAACCTGATAAATACATGCGACAAACATAACTATTAATCATGAATGAGGAATACCAAAACCTGAGAAAATATATGAGAGTAAAAAAAGAACATACCCTCGCTTTGAGAAAAGGCTAGAGTAAATTGTGAGATATTGCAATAGAAAAATCTCAAGAAATCCTAGTGATTAGGGTGAAATTATGAGAGAGAGGTCCTATTTATATTTTTTTCACTAAAAAATATCATGAAATTCACACAATAGAAAATCCATTAAAATCGTTAGATCTTTGAATACCATAGTATTGTTTTTCCTTTATTTAAAATCCTGATTGAATACCAATGTATTTGGACGAATTCTAAAATAATCTTTTAAAATTCTAATCGAATACCACATGATTTTTTTCAATCATTTAAAATTCTAATTGAATACCTATGGATTTTTTTATCTAAAAATAATCCATTAAAATCTCAATCCAATATACTCCCCTAAATTTAAAAAAAAATAAAATATGTCTGAGTTGTTTTTGTTTTGTGTTTTAACTTTCAAAACAAAAAAAACATAGAAAACACATGATTCTGTAATTATCCTACAAAACATTTAGAAGAACAAAAAAATTAGAACACAATCAAACAGACCTTAAGTATCTTCAAATTATTTACTTATTTTTGTCTTGTGATATTTTTTAATTTCAGGACTGAGTTTTTATTATTTATTTACTTATGTTTATTTTACATTCCAGACAAAATTGAAGGATAGATATTCGAATTTTGGATTTAGACATTGGAATGAACAGTCTCATAAATGTAAAAAAATATGTTTATAAAGAGTAGAATAAAATTTCTTGAGGGAATATGACTCAGAAGTTTTGATATTTCACGTTATTAATAAAGCTTGAACTCTATATGAATTACTTTGAATGGGTCAATTGAGACTTTTTTTTTTTTGTTTCTATTAACACTCTCTCATAGTTTCTTTAATTTTTTTTTTTTTTTTATTACCCTCAAGTGGTTTTCTAGCCAAGCTTAATGTTCTTCTCCTTCTCATTCTTTAATCCTTATCATTGAAGTCAGGCATAATCATTTTTCAAGGACCAGGAAGGCATATGGGGTTAGGGTAAAGATACTACTAGCAAATGCAAAATCAGATTGATCATTAAATTTAGGGAAAACATTTTCTCCTTTTAAAGGAGAAAATTTTTCTCCTATCAAAGACTCATAGTATAAGTGGGTCCTACTTTAATTTTTTTTTTCTCTCCACTATTTTGCAGGCCCCACTTATACTATGTGTCTTTGGTAGGAGAAAAATTTGCTCCTTTAAAAGAAGAAAATGTTTTTCCTTAAACTTAACTAAGAACCAAGACCTGTTATTAAACTTCAACTACATAAATATGAAGCACATGCATACTACTTGGATAAAGCTTATTTCTGTTTATTTATGTGTGCTTCTGGGGTTTCAGATAGGTGTTAATCTCTTCCATCCACAGAGAATCACCAAGATAGTGTAATTGAGAATGGGATTGGCTACAATGAAGAGTCCAACATCAGATACAGTAAACCATGTATGGGTTTTGTCTTAATTTATATCTGTTCAAATAGCTACAGGAGAACTATAATGCTAAAGCCACTAGAATTGGTAATGGTGAGAGATTTGGATAATTTGCATGAGTTCATAGATTCAAACCTCGGTAGTTTTGATCTTTGTAATAAAGCTTGGGGTTTAAATGTGTCATAAAGCATAGAGAAGGGCTTGTCTTGATCCGTGAGCAGAGCACTAAGTACATGTGGGAAAAAAAAAATCTCGTGCATTTCTCTTCAAAAAAAATCAATTACATAAAGTATATGTGAAATGGAGAAATCACAAATATTATCAAACTAGTAATATCTCGTGAACTGCACTAGATAAAAGGATTTGAATTTGAAAGGAACTAAGGTTAGTAGATAAAAGGTGGATTGCCTTCTTTGCTGTTTACCAAGTTTAAGGACTTAAGGTTAGTCCTCTACAGCGAGACTGTGTTTGAAAGATTCTGTGTCAGCATATACACGGACAACATCTATTATTGGTGCTCTACATATTGGACATTTTCCGTTGTTACATTGCAACTCATTGGCACACTTGAGACATGCACACATGTGCCCACATCTGTAAGAAATATAGGGACAAAGTGAGTACTTAGGTGCTTTAGAAGTAGAAACAAATAATTTCTAGCAAGATTGTTCCATTTAGAAGCAAATACCTGTATAAAACCGAGTTTACTTTCTTCTCATGGCAAATGCAGCAGTTTCCTTTCTTTGGTGTCCTCTTATGGGACTTCTTGTGAACCTCTTGGTTCTTGGATTGTTGTAATTGCATCTGCATCTGCATGTCCATGCAGCTCTTTATTGATTTCCTTAGCTCAGACATCTCATGAAAAAGTTGAACCATTTGTCCTCTCAATTCGTATATGAATTCCATTTCCTGTAAGAAACAACAGAATTGTGTTATTAACAAGAGATTTTAGACCTGAAGTCAGATATATCTATGTAAGAGAAAAATAAGACTCACAATTGAATGATGATTTGTGGATGAAGAGTACTGCCTACTATCTTTATAGAAAGACTGAGATTGAGAAGGTAATGATGAGGATATAGATGCAACTCTATCAGAATCATCCCCAGCATCAATGTCTCTATAACTCCATTTTGAGGAGGAAGATGAATGCATTGGTGATGATGATTGATTGAAATAATTACCAAGTTCATGATCCGAACCACTAATGATGCTTTCCTTTTCTTGCTCCTCTACCTTCACTTCCTCCTCTTCTTCTTCTTCTTCTTCTTTCTCCACTGCACTACCTTTTCCATCTTGAGGACTGTCTCCAAAACACAAGTGTTCCTGTAAAAATTCCATCACCTGGTCCATTCTCTCTTTTTGGTCTCCCTCATCGTATTGACCATTGATTAGGTGTGTTTGTGTTCCAATATGAGACTTCATCAATCTATCCATCCTTTCACGGAAGTCACTAGAAAGGAAAGTTGACACTGTTCTTCTGTAAACATAATTTACTTTGTGTTCATATCAGTGAAATCAAAGAATGAAAATATTTTCTTGAAGTAGTGTTTAATTCACAAAGTAAAAAAATATTTTGGGAGAATATTGCATATCTTCCGTTACTCAACAAAAGATTTATATGTAGGCATGCTAAAGGTATGGTAGGTATAACATAAGAAGTAGTATATGCATAATCGAATCAATTCATTTATAGTATTGAATTATCTTGAACTAAACATTCATGAGTACACAAAGAAAAGGTGAAATATATCAAAATAATATCTGTGTACCTTTCAAGAAGCTTACGTATCTCATCATTGTCTGAACCAAAGTCAAGCATCTCCCTATACCATTCTTGCCTTCGTTCTTCCCAATAGCTCCTAGGTCGAGAAATAGGACTAATCCAGTCATAACTAGCTTCATTATAATAATGGTCATTGGCCTCTTCCTCTTCTGTTTCATTGTAACTGCTTGCAGCATACTGCTGCTCACTTGCCTCTACCTCATAGGCCGTCTCATTTGCATTTGAATCAGCCATGGATGAACATGCTCCAACTGTTTCTTTTGGATCATCATTTTGAGCTTCAAAAAGTGTTCCTTGGAATGTGACATCTGAACTTGGAGGATGAGCTTCTTTTTTGTTATCTGCACTAGTTTGAGATTCTGGGTTCTGTATAGGTTCTTTACAGTGAATGTCAGTGCCATAAATAGTCTTGCAGCGAGTGTCTTTGCTGATCTGAATAGAGGTAGGAAAGTCACCCATTTGTTTGATGCTGCTTACTATTATCTCCCTACCAGGACTTCTTGGATCGGATACCTCTGCCAGGGATGAAGTTCTATGTTCATCTCCTGTGCTAAATCTTTCCCTGCATTCATATGAAAGATTGTGTCATTTTATATCACGCACAGAGAGTTAAATTATGGATCTTGCAGTTTTCATATTTTGGAAATCTTTATGTTAAATTAAGGATGATAACCACTAATGGGTTAAAGGGTCCAAAGCATATGTAGATTAGGAAGGATTGTTGCATTGTTTTGCTTCAAGACATCTAATTTACTTTAGATTATTCAACAGATTTCCATCCAAAGTGGTATTTATAGATGAGCACGGGTTCGCAGAATAATGCAACTCTATTTCTTGTGGCAACAAGAAGTAATAAAATGAAATGAATTTATCTTATAACTTCACTGTCTAAATGTCACCTTACAGAATGAAATTTTTGTAGTTCACAGACAGTGCATGAATAATAATAATTATAAAATGAAATTTTTGCCATACCTTGACATGTCATAACTTTCTTTTTTCCTTTTCTAACTATTAGGCCAGTTAAAGGTGTGGCAGTTGCAGAGACTTAATTACCATAGAAGAAAAGATGAGACAAAAAGAGATATTGGATTTTTATTTTTATTTTTATATATATAAAAATTACATTCAAGTGTTCTATATCAATCAAGAAAGCAACAAGATGTTGTTCGCATTTGACGAGAAATTATCATACCTCAATTGCATAATTGGTGATCCTTCTTCTTGTGTGTTCCCTTGATCTGATTTCTGGCGGGACTGATCAAAAGCTGCTACCCCACGTTGTAATAATCTAAGCCGAAGCAATGACTACATGCATTGTGTGATACAAAGAAAACGAATTACAAATGAAAAAGTAATGCAAAGGCAGGGATAAAGTTTTGAAGGAAACTAAAAAGTATAAAAAGAACTCTCATACCTGAATACGGCCTCTTTGTGAAAACATGGAAACTGCACCTCTCTCTGCAAGATGGTTGAGCTCTCTATGACGATCACTCTCAAACTGCACAATCAAATCATTGAATGCTTGGCGCCCCCTAATACGTGGTGAACTTATGACCTGAGCAAAAGCCTTGTGCTCTTGTTGTTTTGGTGTAGAAACACGGTCACGCTCTCTATATGGAGATCCAGTCACGCTACTACTACACATCTCATGATCATTTTCATCACTCATTTGATTTGTAACACTGAGTCTCTTGATAATATCTGCAACCCTTCCTTTCTCATCTGAACTATGATGCACTTGCGGTGAATGTGATTGATAACTTGGTCCTGTTTTATCAGATTCCCAATCTGAGAATGATTCCTCATTACCTGATGGTTCATAAGTGGAATCCCCTTCTTCTTCTGAGACCCTGCATTGTTCTTCCACAGAAAATGCATTCTCATTGCAACTTGGATTAGGACTAATCCTCCCAGGGGAAGCTGGTGCGTTTGGTTTATTGCAATTAGATTGGTTGAGCCTCTTTTCCCATATCTGAACAAGGGAAGAAGCACCAAGGTTTGAGATTTCACTTTCAGAGGTGCCATCAAGAGGAGGTGACACTTCCCTCCTAGAAGTAAAACTAGATGACCTTGAAGGAAAATTGTTCAGCACCTCAACCTCATGATTCTCAAGCGTTGACACCATTTCTCGAGCTTTTCTTGCAGTCCATCGATCAATGATCCGTGAGTGCCTCGGGCTCACCAATGCAGACAATGAAAAATCATCTTTGTGATCCCTGCCTTGTTGATCAATCATGTTGTGAAGTCTTCTTGTGAAACTTGGATTTCCAAGGTTGTTCTTGGCAACTCTTGAGACCCAAGTATCAGCATTGCTCATTGGTTTTTGAATGTTGTTGTTTGGTGCTGCAGAATCATTGCATGTGTTAAGGTGGTCTCTGAGGATGTTTTTATGGAAAGTAGCATGTGTAGTGCAAGGATCACGACAATTATGGTCCGTTAAAACGCAACCTAATGGCGAAGATGAAGCGATTTCAACTTGGGACGATGCCATTTTTCTCTTCTCTTCTATTAATTGGTGTTTCTTTGTTCTATAGCCAAACCTTCTTCAATGATCAATGGCTATGTGAATTTCCTGAACGTGAATCAATCCGAAAAGGAAGAATAACCCATTTCAAGATAAAGGGTTGCAAGTTTTCTTCCCTGAAAACCTCTCTTTCTCAAAACTTGGTCTTAGGCCTGAAAATGCAATACAAAAACAGAAGAGTAGGAGGTGATGGAGAAGGGGTCGTTATTACACAAAAACATAGGAAATATTTAAGGCTAATAAATAGTCAACGAATCATCATTAACTCATTCCCGTTTTCATTGCCTATAGTTAGAGCACATGTATAACGGATATGAACTAAGAGAGAGGGAGAGAAAGAAGAAAGAAGAGTAGAATATATTTTGCCCCCTAATCCCTCCTCCTATTCCTATATGTTTTGGTTGAAATTGGAAAAGAGGGATAAGGCTAAAATTGGAGGTACTGTTGGCTTCAGCAAGAGAGAACAAAGTTAGCAGCATGCACAATAGTAATATAACTTGAACAAAGGTTTATGAAAATTCATGTGTGGGGGTTAACCAATGAAACCAAAAATATTATGTACCAAATGTTGGTTTAAATTGGTTTGACTTTTTTAAGGTAAATAGGTCAAATTCAATGTTGGTTGAATTCTCTCATGTTATTTTATTTTATGTTTTTTTTAAGTCGATCACTAAATTCAAACCCAACGAAACTTGTTTTTTGGTAGGGGAGAAGTAGAGATCTCCAAATCATTTGGGGGTGTTTGGTAGGAGAGTTTTATTTTGTTGCTTGGGAAAGTGCACATGGGATTCAAAGAAGACCATGTTTGGTACGGGTTTGGAAAAAAATTGCCTAGGATTCTAATTTGCATGAGAATATGATATTGTGTGTAAAATTGCATCCAAATCACCACTAGAGAATAGAGGGTGGTATTCTGATTTTGTTGGCAAACCAAAAATTGGGTTGCAAATATTTGGACACTTAAATCGATTTTTTCGATATTATTTCGACCTACCAAATAATTTTTTTTTAATTTCCCAGAAAACTCATTTTATCACTATATTCTCAGTAATTGAGTTTTTCATGTAAAAAAAAATTCTCTACTCTACCAAACGTCCCCTTGGTTTCAAAGCCAAAAGTATGTCAAATAATCTCTTCTTCAAAGTCAAACCATCATTTTCAAGTGGGGAGTTGTGTGGAGTGGGATATTCCTCCTTAAAAGCTTAGATCAAAAATGGTGTTTGAGGATTTTGAGAGAGTTTGAGCTCATTGGTGCTTGGGAAAGCTTCCTCCAAGGATTCTTGTATGATTTGTGGTAAGTTTTCACCACTCAAATCAAATTTTCATAAATCTATGTTAAATGAATAGTAAAATTTGAAATTCATGGTATGAAAAATTAGAGAGTGATTTTGATATAGCTTCATTTGTTAAATATGCTTAGGATTGCTTCTTGATGAAAGACAACAAAAGAAATCACCATTTAGCTTACGATAGAAAATTATGGTTTTTGGCTATATGTCAATTTTGAAAATTTGATAGGTTGAATAGTTTAAGGGTGATTTGTATACGAGTCCTTTTGTTAAACATACTTGAGATTGTTCCCGTAAAAGAAAAAATAATGAAATCGCCATTTAAATACTTTAATAAATTGAACTCAAAATCAAATGATATTAAAGAGTGAAAACCTTGGTTTTGCATAGAATTCACATTGAGTTTATAAATATGAATATTGATAGATAGGGGAAGGATCCGTTCATAAATTTTTTTGAATTTTTTTTACAAATTACACTATGTTCTCCTGAGAGAACATAGTGTAGTTTGTAAACAAAAAAGTTTGTAAATATAACCTAGTCCTAATAGATATGTGTTTATTGATTATAGTGTGAAACCAAGTGAAGTACTGAAGTAAGAGTATGATTAAATAAAGCTATGGATATTGACCAAAACTCCTAGTTGTTTTGGAGTAAGGTAAGTATCAATAATAATTTTTTTTTCGTATAATCAGAAATCAATAATTTACATGGTGAAACTTGCTTGGCCAGTTGGCCTAAAAGCAACTTGCAGAGTAATTAATGCATTATGTGCAATTGTGCATGCATGGGGAATGGGCATAGTTATCTATTGGGCCAGGCACAATTTTTACGAGTTAAATGAAGATGGTACCTCGCTTAGCAACTCACCGTGAAAGGTTTGCTTTGATCAGGTTTCAATTCAACCTTGGTTAAATTAAAGTTTTAAAAGTTTTGGGGACAGAAGAAAAACCACTTTCCTTTCGGAGAGAGATTGAATTTTTTTTTCGGGTGAGAATGATCCAACACAACATATATTTCAAGGGTTTTATTAATCTCATGCAATAGGAGAAAACTCTTTCATGCAATAGAGATAATTATGTGTGGGACTCACTTATTATAGAAAAAGAAAAAATAAATAAAAAAGTAACACGGAAATCGATGTATGTGTAGGAGAGAAAAATTCTCTCATACAACATAAGAATATATTTTCCAAATTTCAATTAGAAACTAATTTTAGGATGGTACTCCAAGAACAAAATGTTATGGAATATTTCCATATCCTAACCACCTATTTAAGGATTCCTTAAATGATAACTACTCAATTATCCTAACAATATAAAACAGTAAGGCCGCTAAGGATAGAGTCCTTATCCCAACAGAAAGGAAGTTAAATTCTACTACAACTGGGAGATCTACACAAGGCCAAGAGGTAACTCTTATAAATAAGATATTAAAGACCCCAGGTACATACCCTTGAGATATCATTATACGGTTCAATAGAACCGAACATAAGTGATTGAATAAGAATACCTCTAAATTATTAGGAAAAAAATCATAACGACTTATTTTATTTTTTTTGGAGAATTACATAATAGTAAGTTAAATCAAACTAGGCCTGCCTCATTCTATTTCTAATGACAAGTTATCTGTTTGGTTTTTCCATGAGGTAAGTGGCGGAGCCACATGTAGCTTGGGTGTGGCTTTGCCCCGGATTAAATTTTAATAAATTGTACTTATTATATATAAGGGTTCATTTTTTCTGCAGTAAGCCCAATACGATGTCGTTTTGGGCGGAAATCACAGTAGTTTTGTAATTTTAATTTATTTCAGGGTTATAATAGTCTTTACATTTATAATTTTTTAAGATTTCAATACCAAAACGACGTCGTTTTGGAAAAAATGCAGATAACTTATCTGCAGTAACTGCAGAAACATTTTTTCCTATATATAATTATATAATTAATTATAATTTGGTCTGGGTTAAAATTGTAATTTGGCCCGGGCTACAATTTGTAATTTGGCCCGGTCTAAAACTTAAAATATTTTTGATGAATAATTTGAGTAAGTTGTATTAGGTTGTGTTCAATCTTCACTTATATAAAAAAAAATTAGTAAAATTAAAAAATATTTAATAAAATTATAACTCTTCTTAGTGTTATCTGCTCAAGTGCTCTGTATTTAATATAATTTAAATATATTATATATGAACAAACTAAAATTAAAAAATAAATACACATAATTTTTTAGCCTGGACTCGAATTGGAGCCCGGCTCGAATAAGGTGAGAGAAGAGGCATTCAACCCATGTGAATGTGTAGCTTGACTTACAGGGGAAAAGCACTATTTTAAAAATTTTGGGCAAAAGAATTGTCTAATTAAAGCTGATTAGATAAGTTTTTCCAAAGCAATGATATCAAACATGTCATATATGCTGACGGGACTAGTTCCGTCAATGATACTGACGACACTCATGCCACGTCAGCGCCATGTAGATTCAGTTATCGTAAAACTTCAGAAAGCCATAACTTGTGACTCGGGTATCCAAATCAGATGATTTTTTTTTTATTTCACATAACTTTTTCAGATATACGGAATGACACCTCATTTGACATATTTTATCTACCACAAACATAGTTTGAAGATCTTATGAATTTAAACGCTCTTGTGATTGTGGTACAATTGTTACAAATTCAAACTATGTTTGTGGGAGATAAAATATGCCAAATGAGGTGTCATTGTGTAGATCTCAAAAAGTTATGTAAAATAAAAAAAATCATCTGATTTGGATACCCGAGTCACATGTTATGGCCTTCCGAAGTTTTACGGTAACTAAACTGCCTACGTGGCAATGACGTGGCACGAGTCTCGTCAATATCATTTATGGGACTAATCATATGTGATATATTTGACTGCGTTATTTAAAAAAAAATTATCCTATCAATTTTAACTGAGCAATTCTTTTGCCGAAAATTTTTAAAATGATGGTTTAGCATGACTTAGAGTCTTCAACTCATGCGACTTTCTTTATTTTTATTTTCTCCGACAAGCCATTGCCAAAGACAGTAAAATTCAAGGTGTTGAAAGTTGGACCTGATGGGCATTGGGCGCTCTTTAAGATATAAATTTTTAATCCTACTGCTATATATTTTATTTTTTGTTATAAAAAAATAAGGTAATTTTATGTGTAATAATTTAAGAGAGGGGATATTTTTACTATTAAAAAAATTCATTATCTATCTAATCATCATTGGATTAATATTCTCTCTCTTATTTTTATTTTTTTAATACAGTGCTCTCTCTCTCTCTCTTATTTAGTGGCAATTAGATAGGTAGTGAGCTTTTTTTTGTAGTAAAAATATCTCCCTCATAATTTGAATAAATAATGTATTAGGGAATGTTTGATGTGTTGTATAAAGCTTGATAGTATAAGCTTATACTATATATTATAATATTTTCAGTTGTTTGGTATAACCATTGTATAGTATAAGCTTATACAACATGATTACTTAATAGATCAAAATGATGTATAGTTGCTTTAAGCTTTAATTTTTTTAATGACCAATTTTACGTGATTAGGTCATATGGATATAGATCCTTTTGAGATAGAGCTAGGTAACATGTCTATTAACGAAGAGATGGACGAAGAGCTACATGATAGCATAGACACCATTGATACAAGTGAAGCATGGAGTGCTTG